GCTGTTTCATTGTGATTTCAGGAATTTATAAGAATCCACAAATTATGTTACGGTTATTATGTTTTCCTCACATAAACTTTGTTAAGATTTAGAAAGCACCATCAGAATTACTTTAATGGCCACATCTAGAATACTACTTAGCGTGTTGATTGCTTCTTTTGACAGGTCGATAGCGCAACAACTAAGAAATCTGAACCTGATGAGTCCTCTTCCAAAATTCTAACCAACCCTGGTGGTTCCAGCTCGGAAGAAATTTATGGCAAAGTGAAATCAATGCATGGTTAGATGCCAAAGTGAGCCATTTATGGCAGCATGACTCGAGTTCTTCAGATCTGCATCTTTTGACAGGTAAGGGGATCAAGGCTGTCCTTATACGGCGGCTGACTAACTGCTAAATTGTCTTTGTGATACACTTCCTCATCTTCCATGTGCATCAGTTTTCAAAGCTGATGCGAACTTGATTACTTCAAGCTGGGGCATCTTTTTGGATGTTATCCTCTGATGATATCACCACGAGCTTGGGCAGATTACACGGGCCAAAATGTATATAAATAGAGCATTTTTCATGGAATGTGCTCTCCTTAGTTGAGTTAGTTCTTCTTTAATAATTTTGGTATCTTGCCCACAAGATCTGTATGAAAAATAATATTTCTTTATGTTTTTCTATCTATTCTGAGGGGTTGTGATAAACTAGCAACCACCTCCATTCTCTGACTTGCTTGTATCTGGAAGTGGAATTTATTATCTTTGGACCCGAGGCCAAGCGTGTAGATTAGTGCACTAAAATAACAAGTAGAAAAATGAACAATATAAAAATATTTTAATTAATATTTTGGGAAGATATATGTCTTAATTATTGATTGTCATGTTGTCATTGGACTTGGAAATCTTGTTTTACTTTTTTTTTTTTTTTTTTTCTAATGTATTGTTAGGATGTTATAGGAAAATATAGAAATGAAAAAATTCAGACAAACTTGAAAACTAAACCTAATAAAAATATCATCAAAATTAGTGGCCATTTACCCTTAAAAAAGAGAACTTATCAGTTATCACTGCTTTTTGAAAAATTAAAGGCACACTAACATGCTATATGGGGATTGTTTAAACCAGAAAAATAGCAGTATTTAGTCAATACTAGTTAGATACCTATGTTATGCTCGCGGTTAGATAACCATTATATATTCGGGATAAACGATTCGAATGATGTAATGCGAATAAATATTTTTTTTTCGAAGATTAATGTAAATTAAATTTATATATTGAGCAAATTTATTTGATTTATATATATTTATTAACAAAATAATTTATAATATTAGTATAAAAATTTGTATTCGAATAATTAAGAGATTCTTTCAAAACATTAATTAAATTATTTTATTTAAAAATACAGATTTTAGAACATGAAAAAAATAAATCACAAATAATTGGTGTTATTGTGTGTAAATATAATTAATTTCTAACAAATATATATATATATATATAGTACTAAGCGGATTCAAAGTATATAAAAAAAATAAAAAACATATAAAAAAACCCACTTAAATCGTATGGAATATATCGAAGTAAATAGATGTAAATGACAACTACTATAAAATTAGTTTTGATAAATTCTGGTTAATATATATATATATATATATATATATATATATATATATATATATATATATAACCAAATAAAACATATGAAATTTTTTAACTAATTATTAAATTTAAAAAAAAACTGAGCCAAATTATTTTTTAATTGATTATTGTTTTTTTAAAAATTAAGTCAAATTATCTAAAACACATTTTTAGCTCTTTCTCTCTTTCCCTCATTAGAATTTATATATGAAAAAACTATATATATATATATCGTACTTAGTAGATTTAGAATATATAAAATAAATAAAAAATATAAAAAAACTCACTTAAATCATTTGAAATATATCGAAGTGAATAGATTTAAATAAAAATTGTTATAAAATTAGTTTTGATAAATTTTGGTTATATATATATATATAACCAAATAAAACTTGTGAATTTTTTTAACTAATTATTAATTTTTTAAAAAAACTAAGTCTAATTATTCTTTTAACTGATTATTATTTTTAATGATTATTTTAAATTCTGAACATGTTATGTTAAAGCTAATAAGCGATCCAATAGAATGAGTTTTTTGAACAAAAATTATATTTTTCTTTTTTGGGTGAAGAACAAACAAATACAATGCTGTTAGAACGACTGCAGGCACTACTATTATTTTCCCTATTCAATTCCTAAGAATTTTCGTACCGATTGTTATTGCTGACAATGTTTGGTGTTGCCATGGGGCAGCTTTTTTCTTACAGCTTCTAACTCTTAGTAACTTTATCTGCTTTCTTATGTTAAATTGTCAATACCCTCATTTCATCTACTTATTTCTTTAAAAATCTTTGGATTTCATATCATGGACTGTTTTATATTATCATTTTATCTCTCAACGTATTGCATGCAGGAGTGCTCATGTTGGAAACAGTACGGGGTCTTACTAACTTCTTTTTTTCTCCTTCAGCTCGATGAAAATCTGGAGCAATGGCCACATCTTAATGAACTTGTTCGATGTTATAGAACTGATTGGGCGAAGGATTAGAACAGGTATGGTCACTATGAGATTATCTCTCCAGTAATGCTACAGTAACCAATCCTTGCCAACAACTCAACCAAAAAAACAAAAAGCTACAGTGAATGAATAGTCAAGAGTCCAGATCTTTTAGTTTTTTTTATATATAATTATAATAATTAGCAGGCTAGAATAATCTTTAAAAAAAAAAAATCATTAACCGATATAAAAGGGTTATCACATGAAGCAAACTATCTTCATAGTTTGTCATTAGCTGTTTGCTTTGAGCAATAAAAATAATAGATGAGAGAGCGGAGACTGACAGCATCTCTCATTCGTCTACACTTTCATGATTGCTTGTGCAGGTACTCTTGCAACTATATCCATAAACCAGCAATTATTCCACTCGATTTAGTCATCAACTCTAAGCTATCACATATTGTTCATGAACTATTCCGTGGTTTTGCAGGGTTGTGATGCCTCAATTTTATTAGATGAGACTTCCTCTATCCAGAGTGAAAAGCTTCACCACCCAATGATAACTCTGTTAGAGGTCATGAAGTTATAGATAAAGCAAAATCTGAAGTAGAGAAGATATGTCCTGGATCAGTATCATGTGCAGACATCATTGAGGTTGCGGCAAGAGATGCATCTGCTTACATGAGTATTTGCAATAATCGATGATATTATGAATATATTAATAACTATTTATAAATTTATTATAATTCATATATTTTTGTTAATCTTTTTATAATATATATATTTTTTAAAAAAAATTAAAAACTAATAAAAAATAAACAAAAATGATTAGATAATTAGTTTTTAAAACAAGAAAGATTAATTAATATATTTTTTCAAACTAAATAGAATAATTTATAATTTACTCAATCAAAGCCCGCAATCCTTTAGGCCTTCTAATTTGGTGCACGAAATCTCAAATTTAGTTGAATAATAGGGAATAAATTATATATTAGTCTCTCTAGTTCGATAAATGAATTAATTACTCTTTTTTGTTTCAAAAAATAATTATTTAATCTTTTGATCAATATTAAATGTATCTAATGTGATATATTTTATTTCACAAAATATTTTTTTCATCAATCTTTTTATAATATAAATTTATTTTTCAAAACAAAAGGAAAAATAAATTAGTAAATAACATAAAATGGACAAAAATGAAAACAAGGACTAACTAATTTATTTTTCCAAACAAAGGAGACTAATTTATAATTTACTCAATTAAAGCCTGCTTTCTTGCAGGCCTTTGAATTTTGGTGCACGCAACCTCAAATTTAGTTGAATAACAGGGAGTAAATTATACATTAGTCCCTCCAGTTTAGATAAATGAATTAATTATTTATTTTTAAAAAATAATTATTTAATTAGTGTTGATTATATTTAATTTAATATTATTATTATTTTCACAAAATAATTTTTTTCATCAATCTTTTCATAATATAAATTTATTTTTTCTGTTTATATATTTTTTTAAAACTAAATTAGAAAATAAAATAAAACAGAAAAAAAAATGACTAAATAATTAGTTTTTAAAATAAGAAAAACTAATTAATTTATTTTTTAAAACTAAAAGAACTCATTTATAATTTACTTAACTAAAACCTGCATTCCTGCAAGTTTTTTATTTTGAACATTCACGTGGAAGTGCATGAATGAAAAGGCAGAATTTCGGTATGTAATATATATATATATATATATATATATAACAACAAATAACAATATTACATATATAACTATAATATCATTTGAAATGGTGTCAGGAAACCAATGATGTCAAATAATGAATTGCCCCAAAACTATTAAATAATGAAGATGACATTACGTATTGATTGTTATTTAAATCTATAATTAGTACTACTATTTATAATATTCTTCGATATTTTCAAATCTAAGGTTAATTTTGGTTTGGGGTGAAAAATTGGAAAGGAAATGTTAAGATTTGAGGGTGATCAAGTGTAAGGTTTCCTTTCATAAATTTAGTTAGTGATTGATCACAGGAAGATGCTCGTCAATTCTTCTGATACTAGGACCAAATAAATTTATGAAGGAAAATTTCAATCCAATAATCCTTTTCTTTGCACTATAATTCATTGCGTAAACTTTTGATAGCACGCCGACATGATAGAATAAGTCATCAGCTAAGAATGGAATAATTCATAAATGGGCGGCCTTGACCTTGTCTCTGGCCATACATTGCTTTTGGATTAATAGTTTCTAAACGATCAGTCCATTTTGTAGTTCGTGGACTAAATGACACGAGCATATATGACTATTCAACCTTCATAGACGTTCGTTGGACACTGCAAGAATTATTAATGATTGCTTTAAATCACATAAACTGTGGTTCAGTTGCTAGCTCTTTCTGCTTTGATTTTTTACCCTCTTAATTCCTAACAACTTGGCAATGACTATCCAAATAATACTTCCTTTTCTTGTACTACAATTTTTGTACTTCCATGAGTTGCATGCTCAGATACCTTCCAACATAAGCTTGGGTACAGGCATCAGAGCTGGATCCGGTGATTCCTGGAGATCACTCTCTGATGATTTTGCTTTCGGTTTCTACTCTATACCCAACAATCTTTACCTCGTCGGAATTTGGTTCAACAAGATCCCTGAAAGAACACTAGTCTGGTCAGCAAACCGTGACTCTCCTGCAGGTGCTGGATCCACAGTCAGACTCACGTTTGATGGCCAGCTTATACTCACACATCTTAATGGTAGTGTTCAATTAATATACAGCGGACAAAGTGCAGGTTTAGGCTTCATGCAAAATGATGGCAACTTTGTCTTGAAAGATGACGGTTCAAGAGTCCTTTGGCAGAGTTTTGGTTCACCAACAGACACACTCTTACCAGGTCAAGCTCTTAGTGGTGGCCAAAAGCTCTATTCCAATGCGAATGGAACTGTTGATTACTCAACTGGAAATTTCATGTTGGAAATGCAATCTAATGATGGAAATCTGGTGCTCTCTGCCTATCACTTCTCCGATCCTGGTTATTGGTACACTGGAGCTCTAGGAAACAATTTTAGTTTGGTGTTTAATAATCGTAGTGCTTTCATCTACGTTGCCAACAGCACTGGTGATAATATCTACTCTTTAACAAGAAATGTCCCTGCCCCAGTTGGAGACTACTATCACCGAGCAACTATAGATGATAATGGAAATTTCCAACAATTTTCTTACCGTAAATCAAACAGTAGTGGATGGGAAAGAGTGTGGAGGGCTATAGACGAGCCTTGCTTGGTGAATGCTAGATGTGGTGTCTATGGCATGTGTATTTCTCCGAATAACGAAACAGCAACCTGTAATTGCATACCAGGTTACATTCCGTTGGACCCTAATCATGTGTCCAAAGGGTGTCGCCCTGAGACCGTGGTGAACTATTGTGCAGACCCTTCCATGAGAAATTTCACAATTGAGGTGATTAATGATGCAGACTTCCCATTTGAGAGCTTCGCGGATTTGGCTCGAGTAAAGAATGTTGATACGGAGGGTTGCAAAAAAGCTCTAATGGATGATTGTTACAGCTCGGCTGCTTCCTTGGTGGATTCCAGATGTATTAAGAAAAGGATGCCTTTAATAAATGCGAGAAAGAGCTCTTCTACCAAAGGAATCCAAGCGCTGGTGAAGGTGCCGATGAAGATACAAAATCCTGGCATTCCAGAACATAAAAAGAAGAAAGATTTTGACACTCGGGTTTTTCTAAAGATTAGCCTTATAGTTGCTGCCACACTTGCTTTCACTTCTGGAGTTTCTGCTATCTATTATCATCCTGGTGCTCGAAGATTTATCAAAAGGAAGGGCTCTTCAAATGCTAATTCCATTGGCATAAACTTCCAGCAGTTCACATACCTGGAACTACATAAGGCAACAAATGGATTCAGTAAGACCCTGGGTAGAGGATCTTCTGCTAAAGTTTACAGTGGGATTCTAAGCTTGAAGGACGTACAGATTGATATTGCTGTAAAGGTGCTGGAGAAATCGATTGAAAAAGGTGAGAAGGAATTCATGACAGAGCTCAAAATAATAGGCCGCACATACCACAAGAATTTGGTAAGACTGTTGGGCTTTTGTGTTGAGAACAGCCAACAGCTTCTGGTCTATGAGTTAATGGAAAATGGCTCGCTTGCCAACCTTCTACTTGGGGAGGGATCAGAAAGACCTAACTGGGTTCTGAGGGCGGAAATGGCGCTTGAAATAGCTAGGGGATTGCTCTACTTGCATGAGGAATGCGAGACACAGACAATCCATTGCGACATCAAGCCTGAGAATGTACTTATTGATAAAAATTACACTGCTAAGCTTGCAGATTTTGGCCTTTCCAAGCTTCTTAATAAAGATCAAACCAGAACAGACACAGATTTGAGAGGCACAGTGGGGTATCTGGCACCCGAATGGCTAAGGAATGGACCTGTGACATCCAAAGTAGATGTTTACAGCTTTGGTGTGATGTTGCTTGAAATTCTATGTTGCAGAAGGCATATAGAACCAAGCCGGGTTGAGGAAGAGAGTGAAGAGGATGACCTTGTTCTCTCGGACTGGGTTATAAGTTGTACGATCGCTGGGAAGCTAGAGACAGTGGTAGCACATGATCCTGAAGTATTAAGCGACTTCAAGAGATTCGAGAGAATGAGCTTGGTGGGATTATGGTGCATTCATCCTGATGCAATGCTCAGACCTTCAATGAAAAAGGTAACACAAATGTTAGAGGGAACTTTGGAAATCGGAACCCCACCATTGCTTTACGATCGGATGTCAACTAGTAATTAAACTTGCTAGAGTAGTTGTTGAGCGTGTAATGTTGGCTTAAAAATGTATACTCTGGCCCAATCTCACGATGAACAAGCTAGTTTCGAGCATCATAGAAATGCAAATGTAATCAGAGAATGTATTCTAACAGTTTTCAAATTTATCACTGCATAATGGAATCTGAAAGGGCATCTATTTCCTCTTCTGCACTTGGTGAATGAAAACAGAAGTAATTGGTCATTAGTCAAAAAAACTTTCTTTGATCAGCATTAAAATTAAACTAGCCATTCTTCTAAAAAAAAAGAATGAAGAAAAATGTGTCTTAGGCAGATGCCTTTTTTGGTTAGAAAGCCATATGATTTTTAACATAGCAAGAAGTATATATTAGATTCAACATGTCTCTAGCTCATTGAACGCAGCTCTTGTACTTTTTTCTCTGTTTGAGATCAGGAACTGCATACCACGAGATGCATACCACACCAGAAATGCAAGACATTTTTGTCTGGCAATCCTAAAAACATGAGAAGAAAATTAAGAGACTATGGTCCTGCAATTAGGGCAACGTACAGCCTTTGGAAGAAACACCTTAAGCACAGAATTGCTTTCAAAGAAACTAGTTGGTCATAGCTCAAATCTACCATATATCAACTTTGGCATCACAGGAAAATCAAGAGACTATGTTGTCATTTTGAATCTCTTCCTGCACATTCAAAACCGAAAATATAATAAAATCCGAGATCAAAATAGGTGGATTAATGACATAAAATAATCTCTTTGCTATTTATGATTGGAATAATAGCTACCCTGTAGCTTCAAACAAGCTAATTAACGGATCCTGTCCTCGACTTTGTGATATCAACATATCGTCCAGTCCTCCTGCCCGTTTTCCAGGCTTGTTGTATGCTAGTGATCATCAAGGCACCAAGGATTCGTTGGTAGTCATCCTCTTAAAAAAAAATTGCTTATTCGTAAACTAAAACATCTGCAAAAAGTAAAAAAATATATACATACATACATATATGTATGTATGTATGTATGTATGTTATAAAGAACAAAGAGAAGCGAACTAGCACGAAGGAAATCTCCAAGACCCGACCACTGGCTACTGGATGAAATTAAGACAAGAAATATAAAGGACTCACTTTAAATAAATAACAAGAATGTAGGTACCAAATAAATCACTGATTCAAAATATATAAAAGGACCCTACCTAATTTGTAAAGGGATTGAATACATTTCGTGTCCTTATACTATATTGAAAATATCACTATAACCCTTCTACCTTCCTAACTATAGTATAGTACAAAATTTATACTATTAGATATTGATGCAAAACAACATTTTCGTTAATTTTTTCTATCAAATTGACTAATTTCTTTTAATTAACTAACATTTAACCAATCAAATGATTACAACTTAAAGATAAAAAAATAATTTTTTAAAATCAGTTTTTTAATTTAAAATAATTAATAATTATTATAAAATTATTAAAATTGTAAAAAAATTCTAATTTTTTTAAATTAATAAATTTTTTCACTTTTTAATGATTTTATAATAATTATTATTAGAAAACAATTTTGAAAAAAAATATTTAAATAATTTTTTTCCAATTTTTAATTATTAACAGATACTATTTTTTTCAATTTTTAATATTTAAAATAATTATTAATAAATAAAATTTCAAAAAATATAAAGAAATTTTTAACAATTATTAATTATTTTAATACAAAAATTTGATTATTAATTTTTTCAATTTTTGGAAAAAAATTTTCTTTAGATTTTTTTAAAATTTTCTTTGTTATTAATTATTATAAAATCATTAAAAATTTCTTTAGAGTTTTTTAAAATTATTTATTAATAATCATTATAAAATCATTAAAATATTTTTAAAATATTTTTTTTCAATTTTTTAAAGTTAAAATAATTAAAACATATTGTAAATTGATTAGAAATAAAAAAATCTGATTATCTTAAAATTTTCTTCAGAACTTGTTTTTCAATATATATTTTATAATAATTATTAATTATTTTAATTTTTAAAAAATTGAAAGTTGACACGTATAATCACACCATTAATTAAACATTAGGCAAGTAATAGAAACGAGTCAATCTAATGGAAATAAATAACGAAAAGACTATTTTACAGCATAGGATTTGTTATGAACTATCTCTGATAGAAAAGTTGTAATGATATTTTGGATATGACACAGGAATAAGAGTGTATTTGATCCATAGAAAAACCCAATTTCTCAAATCTAAATAGGAAACAATAATATAATAAATAAATCGAATTAGCGGAGAATGAGGGAAACAAAAATATATATTTGATTGAAGAACAATCCTTGATTCGGCTTAACTCAGTTCCCAGAGTCTCTTCTTCAGATTATTTTCGAAAGGTACACTGCTTCTTCTTCGATACAATTGCGTTTTTGTTAGTTCAATCCAAATACAGTTTCTTGATTATTCTCAAATCTAAATAGGAAACAATAATATAATAAATAAATCGAATTAGCGGAGAATGAGGGAAACAAAAGTATATATTTGATTGAAGAACGATCCTTGATTCGGCTCAACTCAGTTCCCAGAGTCTCTTCTTCAGATTATTTTCGAAAGGTACACTACTTCTTCTTCGATACAATTGCGTTTTTGTTAGTTGAATCCAAATACAGTTTCTTGATTATATACAATTTTTCCTTACGTAATAGTAACGTCATGTTGCTTGCTCTAAAATTCTTACTGATAATACTGAATTACGAATCATGCTTTAGCTTGATCTACGTACATTCAATTCAAATATGGCATATAAATGAAAACGTAGCTTTTGTTCTTTACGGATGTATCAAGTATAACTTGCCAGCCGCTCTTGGATTGACGAGGGCCACTTGATTTTGGAAAGAGGTCCTTCGCCACCATTTTGTTCGACAAGTTCCCTTCTTCACTTATTGATTAGTTGTTTCATTTTTTTCTTTATCAGTGCTGGGCTGCATGCACCACATGAAATGTGGAAATGAATTGGTGTTATTGGTGCTGGGAATTTTTTAATTTTTTAATTTATTATACACGTATAAATTATTCAAAAGATTAACTTATTAATGGAAATTCTTATCTAATTTTGTACAATTAGGAAGGAAACACTTGATAAATTGTTATGCTAGAATTGCAGCAGTTGTTTGGTAAATTTGGATGTTGCATGTGGTTCACTTCAGTATTGGGATTAAGAAGTTAAGCAGTTTTTAGTTAATCTTTGTAGCTAAAGTGGTTTTTTTTTAGCTGCTGGTAGAAGAAGATTTAGGCAAATTGATATATACACACAATGAGTTCTTGGCGTGGGACTCCTTTTTAATAGACCGAGAATAAGTTGTTTGATGAATTAAACTCATTTATTGATATTTCTCTTTCTTTTTCAGAATATATGATGCCATTTCTGGAAAACAAATTAGAATCAGTAATTTCTGGCTGTTTAGATTTACCATAGTAATTTCCGAAGTTCTGCTAAAACCTTCTCGTCTTTTATGATGATCGTCTCTTTATTACTAGTATTTTAAATTTGTCCTGCAATGAAACAGGTGAAGCCTTTAGGATATGTGAATGTAATAATAACCTTTACGACAAAAGGTTTTTTATTTTATTTTTTTATTGTCTTGCTTCTATTCCTTGAGACATGTGCATGAATTATTGTTCTCACGGTTGACATATTACAGCAATTCTCTTTGTGCAATATCTTTGAATTGATGGCTGCAACTTTTCCCAACATTACCTAACAATTACCAAGATGAAATTCTCAAGCTTTATCTATGGTTAAGGCCTTGGTGTTCATTGTTAACTTCTATGAGCCATGAATATGGAACTAGGAAGTCTAGGATTTGCTCTCTCAGTTCAAGTTCAATCATTTCATAGGAAATAAATACTTGAACAGAGAAGTCGAATATTTTCATTTCTGGACTTGTAGTCCACGAACTCTTAATGACATATAAGATAGAAAGGGTACACCTACTGGATTGATTTACATTATAATGCAACCTATATCTGTTGGTGCAACTTATTCAGTTGAGGTCGAAGTGATGTTTTCTAGCCACTTGGCCTGAAGGAGAAAGCAGCATGTTATCATGTTGACATTCATCCTGCCCCGATGGATCATCCCCTGAACTTGTCCTGTTGGCCTTTACCTCTCAGTGAACCATATCAGTTCCAGCTGAAACCATTCAAGTCAAGTTGTTTGCAGCTTGAAGCTGCATCAATTTCTTCGTGGGAATTCAGATCCAGTTTGGTTGCAAAGTAAGAGAGTCTATAACCTGGTGACATTTTCTCATTCTCAAATTTAACTGATTCTGCCCTTTTGTTAGTCTGATCTTGAAAACTGTCATCCTCGCTCCTTCCCTTAAATCTTCCCTCTGCATAGCTACTGCTCAAATTCCCCTTTTCTCCTTGGAGTCCGACACCGATGGATAAATCACTGCAGCTTCTTTCTGCAGAAAATGTTCTCCTTTCTGTATTATGTCCCATTGAGGTTAGAAACATTTTGTTATTTCTTAGGTCTTCACCCCACTTGAGCTCAGTTTTCTGTAGTGCATGTTCCTCTGCAATCTCTTTTTGCTCTAAGAGAGCATTACTATTATAGGGCCTCAACCCCATCCCAGTGTTGTGCATTTCTTGCTCCTTTTGTGATCCTTCACAGGAGGTCAGGCAGCTGTCCACTGAACAATCATTGGGCTGGGTTGGTTGTGTTTGCTGTGGGCACAGACCTTGCAAATCTTTTAGCTCTGAAAATGCAGAATTCAGGCATTGGGTGGACACTTTGGACACCAGTTCAGAGAGTTGAACTTTGGCAGCTTCAAGTCCCACTGTGCCTAAATTTTGCCTTCCAAGGGTTTCCTGGGCTTTCTCTAGCACAGCCTGTAGGTATTTTCCTTGAGCTTCTATGCGGAGCTGTAAATGTCTCTGCACCTGTTTCAGTTCAGAACAAGTTATCAGGATGGAGCTTAAACCCTTTTACTATCTTTACAAATGCATGATGACAGAAACAAGAAGACATTGTGTTTGTAAGATAAATTAATGATATCGATTTGATAGATACTAGTCAAGTTCTGTATCTGAATACCAAGTTAATCGACTTGAAATAAGGACATAAAATAAATCAGTGTGTTTATATATCTTTGAGGCGGCTTGTGGTATGCTTGAAATATTGTAGATATGAATTAAGAAAGTAACGACCCTCCATAAATTAATAGCTATTAACAAGTAGAGACTTTTCTCATGTTAAATGAGAATGCACTCACGCTAAATTCTTTTTAGCTATGCTTTTTAGAAATATCTTTCCCCCTTCTAGTACTTAGAGATTATAAACATGATTCGTTTGCCTCTTTATATATATATAAAACAAGAGCTGCCCTCCAACCAAAAAAAAAAAAAACAAGAAGAGGAAGAAGCTGAAATGTAATTATTCAGATTGATAATGATACTGTACCTCAAGCTGTTCGTGTAGCCTCCTTTGCACTTCAATTTGCATCTGTAGCGCTTCACTGAAATGTAAGCTTCTGGATTTATGAATTCCGTCTTAGTGTAAAATAATTTTAAATATGCTTTGCCATATAAGAAAAAAGACAAATGAACATAAAACAAATGAACTCTTCGTACTTATTTGGTTGGGATCCGATGCTTAGATTGTTAAGGTGAGTTGCATTTACTTCAGGCATTCTATCTCCCACCACAGCAACAGTACCTGTGTCAAGTTACATATTTATTTTTTATGTAAGAAAATGTTCAATTCTTTAATTTCTGATCAATATTTGGAGAGAAATGGCATTGTCTTCATACCAATTTTGCTGCTCCCACTATTAGCTTGTCCATGAAGATTCTTGCTGAGTCTGTACTTCTGATGATAGTGTAAAAGTGGAGTTAGTGCTATCCATACAAATTCAACACCCATACTCTAGCATTCTCTAGTTAAAATTAGAGAAAAGACAAGATTTGGCAATTTCATTTTTTTAAGAAAAACCCATTATTGCGTGTGTGGTCTTATTTTTTAAGCTCTGTACGATAAAGGGTAATTTTTTACTACTATTTGCAGATTTTTTGGCTCTTTTATGCTCAGCCCTCTTTGGGTTTCTACTAATTACTATTGACACTCCTAAGCACAAGATTTCTTTACTTCTTTATCAGTAAACAGAAATGAAGCGTCGATTTATGGAGTTTTTCCATTACAAAATCATGCAATTAAAGAAAAATAACAATAAAAAATCTGTTATTCTTTTGATTTCCCCAAGATTGGCTAGATGGCTAAATCTTAGAGGGCCTTTATGCTATTTAAAAACTTTTAAAATTGGCTATAATTGGTTGGTGTCAGTTATATTTCCACGATGATTAGATAGATAATGTAATGGTTTACCTGAAGATGACTCTTTAGGTGGTACAAGGTAAGTCCAGGAATTCCCATAAGTTTCATGACTGTTTTTGGAGTCGCCTCTGAAATATAAAAGAGCAACGTTTGAGTATGCTGAATTTCACTATTCTATTTGTTGCTGGATTCTTTAACCTTTTTTTATACTCACTGTCTGCTCCTCCAAGCTGATTTACTGCTTCTATGAACCGCTCATGAAGATCCGGCGTCCACTTTAGTCTAGGCTTGGCATCAGTTGAGAGGACAAGTCCAGAATCTCCAGGGCCATTCCCATCCTGCAGGAACAGATGTCTTTCAGGAGGGATGGGCATTCTTGAAGAAGAGTGGATGTTCTTTCCTTGATGCTGGTGATGATGGTACATTTCTATCTCCTAAAAATCCAATTCAAGCTTAGCTTGCTGTAGTAGCACTGACAGTGTAACTATAGTGGACAAGGTCAGTAGTGAGTTTACCTGATATCTTCTCAGTCTGATCTTTTATTCCCTAGAATGGTGAACTTGGTTATGCAGTATTCTTCAGGTACAGTTCCACTTCAGGATACTTCTATGTAGGATTTTCTGCAACTATTCTTGGTTATCTCTTTCAGCCAATGCTCATACTAGGATATTTTTTTGCGATTACTCTTGCTTATCTCTAATCTCCTTCAGCCAATGCTTACAAACCAAAGGTCCAATGAAGCATGCTTTTATAAAGCAAGTTCGGGGGGTAAGAGGGGGGCTGGTGCTAGTGAGGAATAGAATCTTGGACAGAGAACACCCGGTCCAATCCAATATTCACGGTGACTTGAAAAGAGATATGTCCTTCCTACTTTTTTCAACTGTGGGGCCTCTCCTCTAACTCCACTTTCTATTCTAAGACACTGCTATCTATTTGAATTCCTCTGCGCATTTAACTCTCCGAAACACGTTAACACCTTGCATTTGATACCAGAATTGATCCCATCAGAGTTTTTTTTATTTGTGTGCATTCGAATTCGTCTGTCTGTCAAAAGCAAGAATCTTATTCCCGGATATGAGAAGAATTTTTCTGACTTGGATTAGGGGAATCCATATCTCTGTTGTCTTGAGACCTTCTTCACCCTCTCATTCTCATGGAAGATTCTCAGATGTCTTATATCTCTGTCCCTCACCTTGTTCTCAGGTGATTTTTTCAGTTGTCAATGTATGTAGTGAAACTAATCATATTATAAACGAGGTCTCATTGGATGATATCTATGCTGAAGGGAGTAGATGGAGACACAAAACGTTGTTTCGTTGTGGTTTATTTGAAGAATGTAGAAGAAGATTCTTTTGACTGGAGCATCAGGAAACTTTGGAATTAGATACAACAAGAAAAAGGAAAAAAAAATTATGGAAAGATGCTTGTCCTTGGACATTGTTTGGAGGCAAGGAATGGAATAAGGAATACATTCTCTTTTGTCTCCTTCAGTAAGTTTGGTACTTATTCAGCCCACACAGTATAAAATAGAAGAGGGGCCCGATTCTTTTTCATTCTTCAATCGGCATAAGACAGCCGGCCCCGCACCGACGAATCCTAAGCACCTGGGACCGAATAGAAAGAAGAAAAAAAAAGGAAGTATTGTACTTGCTTCCTTACTTGCATTTGGTGAAGGACATGACAATTCTTGCCCTGCAGATCACCGCTTGCCCTTGACTCTGCCTTCCTTTGCCAGATTCTCTTGTATGAATCTATAAACTCTCAAATTGCTCTCTTTTATTAGTATTTTTATTTTTGTTTGATTATTTTACAGATATTTTTCTTTGATTTCTAGTAAAGGGTTCTTAAGCATCCATATATTAATACAGACTTGTCATTGAATCGTTGTGCAAACAGATGAGTTCCTGCATGATGCTCGTTGTATAATTTTGCATGAATTTGCACACACGATATATGGAAAATCACGCGCACTCAGTCTCGCATTCCCTCTTACTTCTGAACAATCTTAAATTAACAAAAAAAACATTAAATTTACTTTTTACCATCTGTCTGCGTGTACAAATACGGTAGATACTTTGGCGTACATTTAACTTGAAAATGTGCTTTACGTATAAAGTTTTACTTAGTCTTATCCCATCTGCTTGAAGAAAAGGGTACCACAAACATTGTCAACTGCTATTTTAGACACGAGTAAAATAATTTGATTTGTTTCTGGATTTGCATTTCTGAAAGCTGTTTATGTGTCGACTGCATGTTCTTTATGCTTATGCTGTTTTATTGCATTGCAACGAAGGATCAGTTCTTGAGATGATCATCGGGAATTATACTATAACTACTTAAAAAAAAAAAAAACAAAGAATATTATCTACATGATCAACAGCTAATGCAGAATAAATTCGTATATTAAGTCATGGAGAACAGATCCAACAACTTACGTTAAACCCACTCAATACAGAAAGAAAATTTATTAATGAATGTGGACATTTTGATATGCAGATACCCATTTAGTGAGTATTCTAGAGATGTATAAAACAACGATTGCTAATTTATGGAAATCATCAGAGGTCACTTCATAATGATGAAAATAAAATTTTTACTCCTTGAACAAAATCTTCACATTAGTTCCAATTGGCCTTTTTGGGGAAGATCACTTGATTCTGATTTGTGGGGATATTTTATGCAGTTTGGAGAGACTCTGTGGAAAAACCTTTAGGTAAAATACTAAAGCAGAATTCCTAAATAGTTTGCTGGCATGTGGATAGGAATATATCGCACAAGAGGAATGTTGGTGTGCAATGCAAGTTACAACAAAATTAAGTTGCTTGTACTAAATGAAATCAGTAGTACTGTCACCAACTGTGAATTTTGCTAGCAAAGATGTAAGCAGTGACAGTGCTAAAAGTCTATGCCAATCTGACATTTTCCTGACAAATGGTATGAGCATCATTGCATCATTGTGTGTGAAGTAGCTGCACATTCATTGATGATCTTTCCATAGCAAGAATAACTTGTATGTAACATGAAAACTAAAACTTGCTTATTTTTACATTACTCCTTGAGAGCTAATCAACTGAAAATTCTGCAATCGCATGACCCTGTTTAATTGTGTTAGTTCTGTGCAAGAAAAGTAAAGGCAGTAGCCGTTTGTATTGTGTATAGGGAAGTTGGTTCATCAAAAGCTTATACAAGTTAAAATACCTCAGGTTTCTTTACATTATAATGCTAAGTATGCACCATGCTTAATCATTGATGAAGTGTGTTCTTCTTGCAAGAGGTAACATTCTAAAGTGTTAATGCCTAGCTGTAAATAGAATAAGCATGGTGCTTTACCTTTCATTTCTTGTCTCAGGGACACAGACCTTTCCTATAATGGTACATGTGATGTACTTACCTTTCCATTGATGTTGCCAAAATGCCCTGGTTAGTATTGCTAATGCTATATAGCATATGGCAACCTCTCGCTCTCTCTCTCCCTCTCCCCCCACTCTGGTTTTTGTACAGTACAAGAGAATACCTAACTTTTACTTTCTGTTATCTAACTGCTGTCACCTTCCTCTCCCAGAGAATGATGTTCCCCACCACTTTGTAAGAGAGGACTTGGATTTTTTTTTGTTCTTTCTTGTACTTGCATTGCCTTTATGGATTCTATATTAATATATAATTTTAGTTCGAGGACAAGAAGAGGCTGAAAAGAGAAAAAAACACATTCACTGATTTGAATCAAATTTTAAGGACTAGTCAATCATAAGCGATCGACTTGTATGTGCGAGATGTTGATTGGCTGCATTTTGTTGACCACAGATGCTATTGCACTGGATGAACTAGAAAGTGAGAAATGACCACGGAATGTATTCCTTGTGGAAAAAAAATTGGGTGAGGTAGGATAAAGCTGTTAAAGATTCTTAGAATGGGAATGTTAGAATCTTAACACAAACAAAAGCCAATGAGTTATATTCTCCAAGTCAAGAATCTAGTTATTCCTTTCTACCCAAAGCCACAAAAAATGGGTTCCCACCCATCTTTTCCCACTTTAGCTCGTTTTTAGCTAGATGCCTCTCTCTGCATTCATGATTAGTGTTGTGTCCTTATAAGCCAAGAATATTGCCATGTTTATAGATTTGCTTAGGTTTTATTTGAGATATGTCCTGCATGAGCACCACTTTGCAACTATATTGATAGACGGGCAGACAGGAACAACTAGTTTTCAGGCCATGTTCTGTAAGGTTGTCCATACCACTTAAGGAGCATATCCTAGTCAGAGAGTCCCAACTGTCCAAAACCATAATGTTTCATGTTTTTTTTTTTTTTTAATGAAATTATGATTTCCAAGGAATATGATCCCAATCAAAGGCATGTGATAGAGCCTAGGCCCCCTAGTTAAGGTGAGGTTAGTAGGTTTTGCTGCTGCAGTCGCCGCCTCACATCTCCCCCACCCCTGTCTTCTCATAAAAATATTGCTATATGTAACAACTAAGAGAAGTGGAATAATCAATACATATGATAGTTGATGATTGTGATAAGTGCAGATGAATATGCTGTTTTCGCATCAAAGCATAGCTTTTTCACCTTGTTTTTAGAATTTCTTGACATATATACTTTTGCAACTCCTTTTTTTCCCCCTTATGTTAACCAAAGATCAAAGTCAATCTGAAGTACTAAAAAGTAGTAAAATTTAGTGTTGATTGCAATTCCAGTCTTGTTGATTCTTATGCAATTGCAATTTCAACTTTCTATTCCAAGTACATATATAGACAGATTTGATTTGGGGTCTTGAGCTCCTCCCTGTCCCTAAATTATGACCTATTCATCTCTTAATTAGAACTTGAACCCTACATTTTATCTTCTATACAGTTTCAAATTTTGACCATTATTGCCATGGAGATGATTTAAATTCAACAGTTTAGATTTTAGGATCTCAATTGTTATTACACAAGTACATCAAGATTCACCTCACTGCACTCCCGATGTGAACCACGATGCCTTGGACTCAGAGCAACTCAACCCCATTGCCAATGCTGTTAATCTATCAGCTGAAGGAAAATTAATATAAGGCATGATGAAGGAATATGATTGCGTAAGAATTTAAGATAAGTTGCAAATTATACCCAATATCTAACGTGATTATTAAGCTGACAAGGAATATAATTATATTAATCCAGTACCGTTTGCAGCTTATACTAAGAGTAAATTATAAATCAGTCTCTCTTGTTTTTTAAAAAAACAAATTAATTAGTCTTTTTTGTTTTAAAAATTAATCATTTAGTCTCTTACATTTTAATTTTATCTATTAATAACTTAGTTCTTTTATCAATTTGCTATTAGATTAGTGATTTTTGTTTTCAAATTATTATTTCTTTGATTTTTGGTTAAAGAGAGAGAAAGAAAGTGGGTGAAGGAGAAAAAAAAAAAAAACTGATGAAAGAACTAAATTATTGATGAAATTAAAAGGTGAAAGATTAAATGATAAGTTTTTGAAAAGAGGAGGATTGATTAATTTGTTTATCTGAATGAAGGGACTAATTTATAATTTACTCCTTATCCTGATTTCCAATTGAATGGTTCTTTGAGGAGGAAGCTTGGCTGTCAGGTTCATCCCACATGGAAGCTTAATTAGCGCTCTTTTGTTATCCCTTTTCAAGAATATTCTTCTAGAAAAAGTTATGAAGTTGAGGAAATTGTCATTTGCATAGTTAATTTAATTATCATATGAATGATTTTTTTATACTATTTCACCAATCTTTGACCTATACACAGATGCCATATATTTTTGTTTGCATGTGAATGTGAATGTGAATCGATCCCATAATAATCTCACGTAACCCAACTTGAAAAACAGATATATTTTTGGTAAAAGTCATGCTTATTGCAATTTGCATGATTATTAATGTAATTGGTGACATTTGATGAGAATAATTTCTTTATTCTGGTTCTGTCATACTCTGAATTAATTAGTTAGAAATAATCTCTTTAACCTTACAAGTTCTCGAATATTTGTTTATTTTTTATAAAGATATATATGCTAGAGAGTAATGTAAAATTAAATCATTTATGAAATCTCACTTAAAATTTTAAATTTTTGAATTGAAATGATTTTTTTAACATAATATCTAAGTTTTGATAACTATATGTCTCGAGTTCGAATTCACATTTTTTTATTTTTTATTTTTTAACACAAGATAGTGAAAAAAAATAATTTAAAAACTTGGATAGATATATCCAAGAATAATATAAAAATCATTTTTGAAGCTTCACTCCACATATTAAACTTCTGGAAAAATTGTGAATAATTTTGTGAGCAAATTTAACTTTACCAGTAGCAGCCCTGGTATAAACTGTCAGAGAACATGCATGTGGCGTAACTCTTTTTCATGTATATATAGGCGCTTGCTTTTTAGCAGAAAGCAGATTCTACAAAACAGACAACTCTTTCCAATAACAATAAACTAGCTAGCTTCTATACCATTCAAATATCAAGTATCAGCTATATATATGTTGCATAACTATCTAGCTACCCTGCATGGACTTGGTTCAATAATTTTGTACCATCAAAACTAATATCATGCATAAAATAATATGGAGATCCCATGTTATTATATGTGTTTCACTTTGGCATGTATACCTAGGACAACGAAGGGCCTCCTTTATAAAAGCCACCCTTCCCAAACCATCGATTTCATGTTAACATTCCTTTGTAGTTCCCATGATAAGTACTAGACACACCCTCTCTTCCACCTTTACTTTCTTCAAGAGTCAAGGAGGAGGAGGAGGAGTCGATATCATGCATATATGCATATATTCTAAGCCATTTTCATTTGTGGGCTAGCCAAGTTGTTGACATGATATATATATACAAGCTAGCTAGGATCAGAATACAATAGGCTTTTCTGGTCCAACTGCATATCTTTCTTCGGATCTGCCTCTCCACCCATTCCTTTCTATTTAAAAAGCGGTATGCACAAATACAAAGTTCCAATTCCATTTTCGTTTAATAAACTAAAAAAATATAAACCGAACCAAAAGCATTGGTTATGCTTCCTAAAAATATTTATTGCGTTGCCCTACAAGGCAAGAATATCCGGGGATAAATGTGAGGCACATTGTCTAGCTACCTAACTACCCATATTAACAACAAGGTGGTATTATGCTATCAAGTAAATGTTAACTTATAGGTTAGTTCTAGACTTATGACAAATACTCTTGAAAATTTATTCTTAAAATGTCCGAGACCATGTATCAAAGAGTGCCATTTAGCCACGTCCAAGAAAAAATTAGTCTTGAGATACATAAAATCGACCCAAAAACACTTTTAATATTAAACTAAAAAAAAACTACTCATATTTGATATCTAAACTTCTGCATAATAATTAATACCATTTGATCATCTTAATAAGTTAATAATCACTAATAAACTAAAAGGCGTGGGAATTTTCAATAGTAAACTATTGTTTATAGACTCGTTCACTAACTATTAACTTGTTTTTCGTCTCTGTTTTTTTAGGTTCGATTATCGTTCACTTCTTCCTTTTGGCTTTTTCTTTTCTTTTTCACCAATACCACTTCATGCGAGATTTATTTAAAAAGCCATGTGGTATAATTTTTTTCCGAAATAATTAATATGTTAATTTTTAATTTCAAATTTTTTAAATTATTTTTATTGTAAATTGATTTTTTTATATAGATTTTCATCTATTTTGACACTAAAAGCACATATAAGTTGTACGTGATTGATTTCTTATATTTTCAAATATCTAAAAATATGTCAAAACATGTGAATATTTTTTTTCTTGATTTTTTAAATATTTGTTAATTGCTTTTTAGTATATAGGAAAAAACTTTTTCTAAAAATAAAATATCCTTAAATTTTTATCTACTTTTAGAAACTGAGATATTGCACTTATTCGTTAAAATTAAAAAAACAAATCTAATAAAATAACATAATTTCAAATAAAAATAATTAAAAAAATATTCAATTTCAAATTAAATTGAAAAATTTATTCTCAAATAATTAAAAATTAATGAAAAGTTTTAACAATTTATAAAAATCACTAAAACAAAATGAGTTTTTACTATTCATGATATTATTCACATACATACTCACAAATCACTATTCATGCCTTTTTTTTTATATACTTTGGTCCTTAACTCTCTCTCTCTCTCTCTCTCTCTCTCTCTCTCTCTCTCTCTCTCTCTCTCTCTCTCTCTCATATATATATATATATATATATATATATATATATATATTCAATTTCAAACTTCAATTGTATTATGATTTGGTTCCATTTTGTTTTAGTTTTTTTTATTAATTACCTGTATTATTTAAAATCTTATTTATTGAAAATTTTAATTTATTTTTCTATATGTATGGATTTTGGAATAAATTTTTAGAACATGATTATTTTTTCTTTTGAAAGATAAAATTATATAATTTTTAAATTATAGTGGCATGATTAATATATATAATTTATCTAAAATATATTTTTAGATTAAAAATGTATTTCAAATAATTTTTCTCTATTTTTTTAAAGAAAACTCAAATTAGTTAATTAATAATTGAAAGTCAAATGTGAAAAATAAAAAAGAGATAGTTGCTCTACGCGTGAGGCATGCACTCAAGAACTAGCCATGTATAGCATAAAAATAAAAAATTATTTAAGAAGGAGGAAAAAGAAAAAGAAAAAGAATTCACGTGTTTTATTTGTTTCTTTTTTATATAATCAAAATTTATCGAAATAAATTTTGTAATAATTTTTATTTTAGTATATTAACTTCAAAATTAGTCAATATATTCCTTGCAAGTTAATTTTTTTTTATAGTGTTTTTTGTATTATGCTGAAAACTCTAAACCCACTTAGTATAGTTATGATGTATAAAAAAATATTGAATCATTTTTTTTTATAAATTAATTATGCAACTACTACTACACTAAGCATTTACTATTTATTTATTTATTTTTGAATATTTTAAAATTGATTTTTTTAAATTAAATAATTAAAATTATGTTTTGGCTTAACCTTTTAATGATTCAAATTAATATAGTTTTTTATTTTAATATTATTCATTTTTTGTGAATAAATATATAAAAATTAAATTCATATTTTTTCAAAAGCCGATATTCTCATCAACATTAAATAAAAATAAAAAATAATTTGTTTATTTGTTCAATTCTAATTAAGTTTTTATTAATTACTATTTTAGTTTTTCGACACAATCTTATGAAATACTAAAGTTTTTTTAAAATTTTTATTTAATTTTTTTAGTTAATAATCCATGATTAACAAGAATAAATCCTTTTTATAACAGAAAAATCATGAAAAATACAAATAAGAAATAGTTAAATATAAATTTTTGATTGAATAATTATAAATATTTATTTTTTTTTTTAGTTTTGATTTCATATATTTTTATAGATTCACATCATAACACGTACTATCAAATTGAAAAGTTTTTTTAAAAAATAATTTTATATATTTTATTCAATTCGCAGTGAAAATTGTAACACAATTTAATGGTTTGAGCCAAACCTATTTCTTTTTCTCTTTTTTTAAATTAGACATTTCGGCCCAACATTGTCTTGGCCATTTGAGACTGAAAATCACCTGGCAAGCGGTTGGCCAACCTTTGAAGAAAAAAAATCTCTTGGTTGTCTAGATTTGGATACTTCATGTGATCATGAGTTTTGAATTCAATAATTTGAATTAGATCAGAGAAATAAAAATTATGGAGTTTTAATTTGAACTTCCTTTAGAAAGGGGAAAGGATCCCAATCCATCTGACCATATCATGTCTCATATGTTACAGGGAACTTGACATTCTCACCTGTTGGATTCTAAACATCATCGTTAAGAGGCTCAAACTTTTGACCCAACACATCTATAATGCAAAATGCAGTGGGTTTGCCCCAAAGCCCAAAGTGTCGAAAAAGAAAGAGCACATTATAAATTAGTTACTTTAGTTTTAAGAAACAAATTAATTAATCTCTTTAGTTTCAGAAACTAATATTTAATTATTTAATGAGTGTTGATCATATTTAATTTAATATTATTTTTTATTCCATAAAATCTTTTATTTTTTCATTAATTTTTTCATTTTTTTTGTATCTTTTTTTCCTTTTTCTATTTCTTAGAATAAAAAATCAAAATAAATTAAAAAAATAATAATTAAATTACAAATAGATTTCAAAACACGAAAAATAAATAAATAGTTTTTTTAATAAAAAAAGGTTAATTAATTCATTTTTTAGAAATAAGAGGGACTAATTTATAATTTATTCGAAATAGAAAGCAATTTTTTTTTTTCAGGTCATGGCACTCAGAGTTCAGTATATTATTGCAACGAAAAAGCTAATCATTGCAATCTTTTTCAACACTCTGCTTTTAAGAGAAGAAGTGTAGAACCACAAACAAGAAAAAACCATCTGCGAAAATGTTCGTAAGTGTATTGTATGTGTCCCTTTTAGACAGTAACTAGTCCGCTTCCTACCAGCGGAACAAAATAATCTATTTTAGTTTTTTAATGTGTATTATACTGTCGATAGATAAAAATTTATAAAATTATAAAAAAAACACAATCTATTTTTTTATGCTTTTATACTTAAATAAAAAAATTGGAATAATCTAAATAAAAAAATGTAATATAAAATTTAAAAATTATTTTAATAACTTTTTTCATAAGATTGCATTGAAGAATAAAACAAAAGTAAGATAAAAACTTGTATAAAATTTAACAAATGAATCCTTTTATTGTTTTTTAATATTGATGCGAAGACTAATTTTTTTGAAAATATGTATATTTGATTTATTTGTTTTTATTTACAAAATAATCAATAATATTAGTATAAAAAATTGTATTTGAATTATTAGGTGGTTCTTCTAAAATTTTCTAAAATATTATTTTACTTATTTTATTTGAAAGAAATTAATTTTAAATTTTAAAAAATAATAATAGAAAATGGTTGGTGTTATTTGTGTATACTCATGATTAATTTTTCAATAAAACCAATTATCTTAATTTATTTTTTGTACATTACGATCATATTTAATGGTTTAGAGCGTGTAACATAAATCAAATAATATTTTTTAAAAAACAATTTATGTTGTAAGAAATATATTAAGTTAATAGACTTCAAGTAAAAACAATCACAAAATTGATTTCAATAATTTTGATTATATAAAGAATAAACAATTAAAACATATGAATTCTATTTTTTAATTACTTATATTTATTTACAAAATAATCAATAATATTAGTATAAAAATTATATTTGAATTATTAGGTGGTTCTTCTATAATATTATTCTACTTATTTTATTTGAAATAAATTAATTTTAAAAAATTAATAACAAATGGTTGGTATTTTACATATATACGCATAATTAATTTTCAATAAAATTAATAATTTTAGTTTATTTTTTATGCAGTGAATTAGAGTGTTCAACATAAATCAAAAAGTATTTTAAAAATACGTAGTGGATTAGAGTGTGCATCAGAGTGGTTAAGGTTTCCATCCATCGCACAGTTCGTACGTTCCATCTGATACGAACCACACACATAATATGCATGGAATCTGATGCAAATGTATCTCGATAGCGAATCATAAATCAACATTCAAAGACAACCAGGCCACATAAAGAAGAAAATATGTATCACTATATCAATGCAATTATGCAGTAAACAATGTTTGTTTTATCTTTAAAAACAGGAACTCATTAGCTAAATAGCTGTATAACCATAGCTGCCCAGTTAAGCACCATATTGTAACAATAGCAACAATAGACATATTTGCACAACATAATTTACACACAAATTTAATTTAATTCCATGAAAATTGAACTTATATCATGAAATCTAAATTTAAACGGAATTGAAAAACTACTAAACTAGTCTATTAAATAAATGCTAATGTAACATAAAATCAAGAACTTAATATATTTTAATTATTTTGATATGTTTTTTCAAAAATAGATGAAAAATACATGAATAAAGCTTCTAGTTATTATATTAGCATGTGAGGATTTTTTTATTTAAAATTATGATTTGACCTAATGTGATAGGACAAATAGGATGACACCATGGATTAAAATCCACCTAGAATTATAAGTCGCAAAAAAAATTTAAATTCCTTCCTTATTAAGATGACATGTTACCCACTCATCCAATTTTAATTCATTTTTTATTTAAAAAACAAAGAATCCCCAAAATACAAACCCAAATAAAAAAAAAACATCCCTCGTCTTCTTCTCTACTCCGACGAACCAGTATTATAGATTTTATATGACTGGATTGTAACCAAAACCATGTAAGAAGTAGGTTATTCGATCAAGAAATCCCTCAAGAATTGAGTTATTTAATCGAGAAACCCATCAAGAACTGGGACGAGAAGTAAAGAGAGTGGATTAAATATCACCCTCTGCTTGTGATCGTGTGGTTTTTATGGCTGGATTACAACCAAAACTATGTAAGAATCCAACAAGTGACAATTTAATTTTAAGATTTTTTAAAAAACAAAGTTGATTATTGTAGAATCAACGGTTAGGATGCATTTTACAACAACGTTCTATTACATAAAAAAATGAATAGCTCCTAGGTCAAATTACTCGTCATTAGAGCAGCCATGTTAGCTCACCCAAAAATTGAGTGGATATGGTGGGTTGACTTGGATGCTAGGTTCACTGAAATGGAGTACAAGCTTCTGTTATGGTGTTTACAATTACAAGAATCATAATCTGGTGGCTCACAGTTGGGAAAACTGATTTACCAGAAGCAAAGTTGGACTGCTTTAAACGCTAGCATTTTTCTGATTAGAAACTGTAAGTGGTCCATGGATTTCATGGAGAAATGGGAGAGTATGGTTTCGTGCACCTGGATTCTAACACTGTCACTAGGACACTGTTTGATTATCTAAATGATGGGCCGTGTTGAAGATTTGTGGAGAGAGAGGAATGGGTACTGGTTCGTCGAGGTAGAAAAGAAGATGATGGATTTTTTTTTATTTGATTTGGATTTTTATTTTAGGATTCTTTGTTTTTGAAGTCAAACGTGAATTAAAATTTAGGTGCCTAGGCAACTTGTCGTCTGAATAGAAAAAAATTTTTAATTTTTTACCACGTGTAATTCTAAATATATTTTAATCTATGATATCATCTTACCTATCTTATCATGTCAGGTAAAATCAGAATTTTTTTTAAAAAAATCTTCTCATGCTAGTATGGTTATAAAAAGCTCAATTTCTTTATTTTTTTATATATTTTTAAAATAACCTGTCAAATAATTAAAACGGATTAAATTTATGATTTTATAGTACATTAAGCTTTTAAACTAATATTGAAAAACTAGTCGAAGATTGGCCAAACAAACCTAGTCTATAGCACATTAAGCCTAAAACGGATTAAATATTGAAAAACTAGTCCATTAAACGAGTCTATCGATGCCAACATTCTTAAGTCGAAGATTGGCCAAATAAACCTATCCAACACTCTGGATTTTCCTCGTTTATCGTCCTTTAAAATTCCTCATCTCCTAATCATTGTTATAATAACATTCGAATCATTCCCAATCGAAACCTCGAGCACCCTTGGTTGGTGAACTAGAGTAGATCCTTGAGCATCTTGCTCATTGGCAAGCTCTTAAAGAAACCAAATGACAATTTCCATTATTATTCATATCATGCTTCAAGTATAGTAGATCGAATATTGCTCACATTCTACAAAATAGAAGGCATTTTCACAAATTAATTAGTGAAAGAAAGAAAACAAAACAAAAGAACAACCGTTCATGATGGTGATGATAACGATGACCAACCATCATCAACAAGTGGCAAAACCCTTTCATCAACAAACAACAACCATCCATTCACTCCTCCATTTCTCGACTACTTTGCCACCATCATGATTTCAAGCTCCACTGCAACATCATCGGACCTCCTTTCACCTCTATAAACATCCCTAGAGAAGCTAGTGTAGCTTTGTTGTGAATATTTTAAACATTCAATTACATGTGCAAATATATATAGTCAACAAGTAATATAATGATGAGTTTCAAAGATCGATTCCTTATAGAGCTGTACTAAATCTATCAATATTAGATGTTGGATGAAAATTATTTAAAGATCTGAATATTCTAAGAATTTCTTTTCAAATTTTCAGCAACAACGAATTGAAATGTGAATAATCAAAAATAAATTAAAAATAAAAATATAGGGTAATAACTTTACATAGCAATCTATTTAATTAACTAATTTTTATCTTAGTTAAATTGTCATTAAGGCAATTGTTAAGCAAACACACCAATACATTGAATAATTTCTTTTGAACAGTTAAAAAGTATATTCAATTAAATCAAAAGTACTATATCTCTATGTGAAAAGCACTCTTTAAGATTAAACATATATCATGTTTGTATATGCACCTAAGTGTATTCCTACTTTACATACACATATATCAATTTATTCAAGAGCCTATTTTCATTTGTTTTTTCAAGAATCTCAATTCATTCAATTGTTGATCAAGCAATTACAAGCATTAAGCACATAATAATATAAACAATACACAAAGTGATAATCATAATCAAAAATCAAGAAATTAAACAAGCTTTATGTTTTGAATCCATTACAAACCTAGAGAAATAATTATTTCATATTCAACAGACTGAAAATCAACATCTTAACCATTAACATAAAATAAAATCAAATAAAAAGTAAAATAAGATAACCGAGTAGACGTATAATTCTCAAAAAATCAATAAAAATTCATAGAATTTTGACAATATTGCAAACCCTCATTATTGCTGAAACCTTTTTTGCTTTTTTTTTTTTAATTGCCGAAACCTTTTTGTACCCTTTGTTGTCAGCCATGTCCTTTATCTCCTTTTTTTCTTTCCTTTTTACATAAAATCTATATTCTTTTCTATGTTAAGATTCTAGAGTTGACTAGATCATACTACAAGTTAATTACATTTTTGATTTACCAACTTATCAATTTTTTCTAATCAAGTGTAAACTCTTTAAACTTTATTATTTGAGTAAAAAAATCAAGATTTTTGTTAACTTTTGTTAATTTTATACCGACATGGTTATTAACTACACACGTGACATCGACATGTGAGCTCTGCTATCAATTTTGTTTTTACTTATCATTTTTTCTATTTAAGTATGTAAACTTTAATACTTGTTATTTAAGTGTACTAGCTTGTAGTTTTTTCTATTTGAATGTTTATGCTAATTCAAGATTAATTTGTTTGTTAACTATACATTTGAAACCGTAATATAGGCTCCATTATCAAATGTTTGCATCCAAAAAATTACTACTACAAAAATGAGAATGGACCAGCTAATAAATACATAAACTTAAAAAAAAAACTTTTATAATCAATCCATCTTATCCAACACAGATTCAAACTATACTTCACTCTAAATTAAAACTCAATTTCATATCGTCATCTTTCAAACAATAACCATTATTAGCTTGTCTACTTAGAATGAGAATGACTCGTTGTCTTAGTGAATGAACACAACTAAGTTTTTATATTTTAATTTTCAATCTTTTCCTTACATCCGAATATATTTAAGTAATTTGTCCGTTTTTTTTTTTTAAAAAAAACTTATTTTTATGTAAAGATCATAAAGTCTGATTATTATTATGTAATTTATTTATCTTTATTGTTACTATTTGAGAATGAGAATGAATATTTTCTTTTTGATTTTTTTCTATTTGCCATGTATCTTGACAATGGACCCATATGATAGCTTTATGTGTGTAGTTAACATACATGTCAGCCTAGAGTTAAGGAAACCATTCAATTAGAAAAAATTACAAATTAGTACATTCAAATACAAAGATTAAAATTTACACACTCAAATAAAAAAAAAATAACAAGCTTATATGAAAAAAACAGATAGTAGGGCCCGCATATCAATCCTACGTGTGCAGTTAATAGCCAAGTGGGTCTAAAATTAACAAAAGTTAACCAAAACAGTTGATTAAAAAAATTATAATTTGGTCTACTCAAATAACAAAAATTAAATAAAATAGACTTGATTTAAAAAAAAAAAATTGACTAGTTAGTAAACTAAAAATATAATTAACTCATCCTACTACTAACCTATCTGATATGTCTCCTATAGCTCAATTTTTTCCAGGATGTGAACAAATCTGGAGTGAAGTTAAAACATATAAATTGTACTTTTATCTTGTAGCTTTAATTTGCCTCAAGAATTAGAATAAATAAGTATCCCAAAAAAAAAAAAAAAACTCGAGTACGTTCGAATCAAGAAATTTCTTTTTTCTGAATTTGTTTATGCTTTTCCATCCAATCACACAAACCTTCCCCAAATTGCCATATAAGATGAATTTATAATATTTGGTGCAATATCAAGCAATATAACGAAGAATTAGCCACAAAATTATGACTTAGAAAGTATGAAAACATATATAAACATGAGCTTATCAAGCCCCACCTCCACACTGCTCACGCTACACCACCTCCGTCTCCTTGCTCTATCACCGCAAAAGTCTTAAAGAATGGTAAATTAAAGAAAAGAAAAAAATGAATAAATTTAAAGAAAAACAAAAAATGGGGCAATTAAAGAAAAGAAAATCTTAAAGTCTGAATAGTAAGAGAAAGTCCGTTAGTGATGAAAACATGAGAGAAGGAATATGGACATAAAGACGAGGACAGAGAATGAAGAAATGAGGACAGAGAGGGACTAAGGCAATTCATATAAGTGGTGTGAGGCAGGATCCATTAACGATGAGATGGATAGAAACTTTAACTAGCTGTTAGTCTGGAATTAAATTCTCAACGAGCATAGTTCATGGTGCAAAATCAAGATTGTTTTTTAGTTGAAGGGATATTTGTTTTTGCATAAAAGTTCAGGGGATAATTTACAATTTAGCCAGAAATATACATGTTAAGTATATAATTCACAAAAATATTTTTTAAAAGGTAAAATTGAAAATTAGACAATATATTAGGGACGAAAATGACGTTTAGTGGATCTGTCGGAAGCAATACAAGAAAAGGAAGGCACGAAACCTGAATCATAACAAAACAAATCAACGGCGCATAATTATATATGCACTACCAAAAATATGAACGTTAGCATCTTTTTCTTATTGTTCTCTCTTTTAATTACTAGTTTCTCTCTGATTTCTTCAACCAAATCGTCTTCCATTTCCCTCATTGGAATTGCCCCTCAAGGTACCTATACCCGTACCTCTTCTATTCATGTATCTTTGAATTTTTGAAATGGGGATTTCTTTAATTTGTTTTGTTTTTTGAGTTCATGGAATGATGGTGTAATTTGCACCCAGATGAGAATTACTACAAAAAAGAGATTATAAAGTGTAGAAATGGATCCAAGAAGTTCAGTCAAGCTCAACTTAATGATGATTTCTGTGATTGCTCTGATGGGAGCGACGAGCCAGGTATCGTCTCTCCTTTATCTTTATTGTTTCCTATATTTACATGGCTATTTAAATGATGGGTTTATCTTTTGGATTGTTTGTGATCTTTTATTTTGACAATGGTAATGTGATACTGAAGATGGGTTTTGGTGCATCTTTGCAGAAACTAGTTGGAATGTTAAGCTCTTGAGTTTACATGTAGACGCTTGGACATCTAGTTGTTTTTTTTTTACCTGGTTATTGATGGGTCATTGTGTTCATGATGTTAATGCGATACTGGAAATGGGCTTGCTATATAATTATAGAAAGTTCTGAAATTTAAGGTAGACACTTGAAATTGAGATAATTTTTTTTTTGGTTGGTTTGTGAAATGATGGGCAAGTATTTACTGAAGGCTCTTCTAGTGACTGCACAATTTTGTAGGATACTGCACATATAGCTTTTTTATCGGTAATGACTTTATTTGTTTCTTATATTTTTGAAAGATTTTATGGTCTGCAAATTGTTTGTGATGTCTTTTTTAGAAATTTATATTTCCTAGCCGACAGTTGCTTCAATTTAGCGGATGAGGAGAAGTTTGCACTTGTTTGAAACCAATGTGTTAAAGATGAGTTTTTGCATTCTTTTGATGTTTTAGTTCTTGTTTTTCAAGTGCTGTGTTGGTTGCAGGAACGTCGGCATGCCCACATGGAAAGTTCTATTGTAGGAATGTGGGACACCTTCCTGTTTCATTACATTCTTCAAAAGTGAATGATGGAATCTGCGGTAAGATGGGTTATGGATTTGTGAGTTTGGTTTCATTTTGTAAGCACATATTGTTATACTGTTTTAGTTAAAGCTATCAAGTATCATGCAAGCTCTTCTGCGTGCATTCATATTTCATGTAAGACTTGGATGCTTTCAGGAGCATCCTAGTATAAAGACAAAAGAATACGTGAGACTTACTGATTTGGTATAAGTTGAATAACAAGAAAACGTGTCTACTGGCTTGAGATAATGAATAAATGATTGATTGACAAGGACTTAATGGTGAATACTGGTAAAATCTTCGACAGGATCGATAGATGAAGATGGATTTGTATAACTTATATCCTAGTTGGAATTGAGGCATTCTTCAGTTGAAGCCTTGGATGGCGTGTTACTTTTGTTTGATGACTGGCATCTAACTTTAGAAACGTGTTAAGGCCACATGATTAGAAAATCTCTTTTTAACATTCAGCACTTGTAATTATTAATAAACCATGTTGATAATCTCTTTTTCTGGTGAGAAGTTTATTCCTTTATAAATTCTGCCACTTCTCCAACCCTCCTCTTTCTTTCATAACCAGTAACAAAAATAATGTTTAGCTAATTTCTCAACAGACCCAGAAGCTCATGCCTCCCTTTCCTTTTGTTGCTTCTCCATTAACACTACCATTTTTATTAATAAACCAGTAACATTGTTCTGTCCTTTTTTTTTAAATTAAATTGTTTTTTCTTTTGGTTTGCATGTTTAAAGGTCTTTTATAGTTAATTCATTGTTCTGGGATGGTTAGTGTTGCTTGCGTCCTTGTGGTGTACTGCTTCAAGGGCTTTTATTGGTGTTTCCCTTGCTCATATTAAGGAAGATTAGAATGCACTTTAGTTTGTTCTTTCTTCTTCTGTGTTAATTTTTTGGATGCTTTCAATCTATAGCACTTCTCTTTTCATGTAAAAACTCTTGAAAAATTAGTTCGCCTTGAGAATCTTTATATCCCTTTATCTGTAGATTGATTATGGTTGGTAATCTTTCAGAACGGTCTATGTGTTTTGCTCACTCTGAAAATAAACATTTGATTGTTGAAATTTCTTTTATTGTCCATTCTGTAATATAAATTAAAATGAGCAGATTGCTGTGATGGAAGTGATGAGTACAATGGTGAAGTGAAGTGTCCAAATTCATGTTGGGAGGCTGGCAAAGTGGCCAGGGACAAGCTAAAGAAAAAAATTGACATTTATAAAGAAGGCGTCGCCATAAGGAAAAAGGAAGTTAAGCAAGCAAAACAAGCAATAGCGAAAGATAAAGAGGAACTGTCAAAACTGAAAAATGAAGAAAAGAGTCTTAAAGGGCTTGTTAAAAAGCTTAAAGGTAATGCTTTGGCCTGCTAGACATTTCCTAATAAGGTTAATTTCTCTTCAATATCAACATTTTGTTTAACATACTGTCACTGTTAACTGTCAAGTTCTCCTTCCTTCCCATACTCTTTGATTTTCCAGCTTTAATTCCACTACTCATGTATAATGCAATTTTTAATTAGATTTGGTGAACATGTAGATGTACATATGCCAAGCAAAATGAAAAGGCTACATATATGTATCTATATGTATTGTCTAGTTATGCATGCTTACTTGATATTTGTTAGAATGTATGTGGAAGTTAATAACATAATAAGTGGGTGCACTTTGCGAATTTTTACAATTGAAGATGTCAACATTTATTTTTTTTCAAATGGGTGATGGACTCTCAAAATTGTACGTGAAATTTGAGGAGGTGGCAAGTATGACTTGAAGACTTTCCTGAGGTGTCACATTAGTGATGAAGTGGCATTTATTGACATGGATACTAAGGGATGACATGGTAGGTCAGTGATGGCTTGGCACTGATGACTAGGAAAAAACTTTTGGAGGGAAATTTCTGTTTTTTTTCCCCTTACTTTTTTGATAAAATATAAACAGATATTAAAAAATAACTAATTACCTAACTTTTTAATATCTTTTTATATTTTATAAAAAAGTTTTTAAAAAGGAGGGAAATTTCCCTCTGGAAGTGTTTTTCTAGTTATGGTTATTGTTTTCATATCTTTTTGTATTTTATTGAAAAAGAGAAAAAAGGGGGAAATTTCCTTCCAGAAGGTTTTTTGTTAGTTAATTTTTTTATAATCTTTTTATATTTTATTGAAAAAGTAAAAAAAAAAAAAAGAAGAAGGAAATTTCCCTCCAAAAGTGATTTTCCTAGTCATTAGCGTCACGTCATCCCTTATTATCCATGTCATACATGCCATCTCGTCAACAATGTGACACCTCAGCAAAGTCATACCTGCTACCTCTTCAAATTTCACTTGATTGTTACAATTTTGAGAGTCCACGTACCTATTTGTGAAAAATAAATGTTGCCACTTGGTTTATTAACTCTGTTTGCAGAAAAAAGATATAGGCTGAAGGTTGAACTGCATAGTCTTAATAAAAACTCACCTAGCACCCTTATATGAACTAGAGTACTCAATTGGCAATAAGAAGTGTGAATAAGAAGCCTAATAGTTAGCATTTCTGAGTGAATTAGTTAAGTGCCGCATTCTTGATGTGAGCTCCACTGGAGTAAGAAAGAAAATGACTGGGAATCTCAGTAGCTGGCTCTGGAGAGTGAGAGAACTTGTTATGGCCTAACCGAAAGCCATTAATTCATATTTCTTGCAGCTCTGCTTCTGCTCTGTTCAAGGAATTGACAAATTCCGCTTCTTCTTGCTATCCTGCTGTTGCTTAAGTCTATAAATTCATTTAAATATAGCAGTTGTGTGACCTTTCGGCCAAGTAACTGATTATTCATGTCTATCTTTTATCTTTCTTTTGAGCTCTTTTATAGCACACAAGGAGCAGATTGAGAGGGCAGAGGAAAAGGAACGCCTGATGAAAGAAAAGGAAGAGATGATGAAAACAGCTGCTGAGGATAAATCTGATGATGAGCAGAAGGAAAGTTCTAACTCTAAGACTTTAGATAGTGAGAACAATGGGCCGTCACCTACAGTCGATCAGGTTAGTGCGCGTGGAGGCCTGCCTTTTAAAATCTCTCTCTCTCTCTCTACCAACATATAGATATACATATTACTATTATGTATGTTTAATAGTTTATGTGCTGAACTGCAAAAGAGCTCAGCCATTCTGTACCAGCTCATGCTGTTCAAGGATGGCTTGAATTTGTGTCCAGACTGAAAATTTATATTCAAGATCAAGCTGAGAAATACTATTGAGGTTTGAGCTCTGCATGGGCATATGAATAAATTAAAAGCCTAAGTCGAGCTCAGCTCAAAGATTATTTAAGCTGTCAAGCCAAGCTGCCTGCATCACTTTGGACTGTTGACAAAAGAAAATTGACAATTGTACACTTAAGTATTAAATGATTCATGTATGTTAGCAATACACGGTATTTTTTGTCCATCACATTGGACCCAATAGTAGATAGCTAGGTTTACCACTCAGTTGTCTTCCAAGAGCACTCACGAAGTGGAATTTGATATTGATGATGGTGAACTTCAAGATTGTGAAAGAAGTGATTATGGACAATCTGCTCCCTATTGAACTTCTTTACCCTTAACCAGTCTCTCATGAAGTTTGCTTCTTTATATGCGATACACTTGCGAGAATCAACATCAAATTGAGCAGTGGAAGGAACAATAGAGAAGCAAGTTGATTACTTATTCAGGATGTCCTTTTCCTGGGACACTGTGGTTGGGAATTCTTAATGTTGTTGCATTTGGTTGATTTTTCTTTTTTAGTTTCTTATAATAACAGCACATATGAAAATTATATTTAATAGCATTGAAAAAATTGGAGGTTCTCCATTTAAAGTAGTTTTGCTGTATTTATATTGTTGAATTTCATCATGAACCTGAATGGTATCTGTTTCTTTCAGCAACAGAAAGATGAATATGAAAATACTGAGGGATTGTCAACAGATGGATCTGAAAGTACAGAGGCATTGTCAAGAGAGGAGCTGGGTCGCCTAGTTGCTTCACGTTGGACAGGAGAAAACACTGAACACCAGGCTGAGGATCTTAGTCCTACTAAAGATGGAGACAACAATGAGATTCCAGAGAGCAGTCATGACAAGGACCATCACAATAATGATGGTAAGGAATCATCTGTAGGAAACGATCTTAATAACTCTGGTGCCACATACATCTTTGGCATAAGTGCAAAAAGATTTATCAGATTAGCAATTATTTGTTCTTTGGAAGCAGTTGTTCTTCTCCTCTCTGCCAAATCTTTTTTCTTTTCTATTCTTTTTAAATACCATAAGTTCTCACAGTTGCAGTCTTTTCTAATCTTGTTAGGAGTAAATATTTTGAACGGCCCATCTTGGTTGGAAAAGTTACAGGATGCTGCTCGAAACCTGTTTCAGGCGATTAATTTATCTCCTGTTCCACTTGATAAACTAGGTAAGTGATGGTTTCCATATGGCATACCTTTTAAATTATTAACAATTGCATGAGAGTATGTATATCTTGCGTTATAGATGCAAATCGTGTTCGGAAGGATTATGATGACTCCAGTACAAGGTTGTCTGATATACAGGACAGGATAGCAAGTTTGACAGAAAAGTTAAAACACGACTTTGGTGAGTCAGTATATCAATGAATTTGTATTTAACAGCTAAACAGTAGTTTTACCAGTATGTGATTAATAATTTTCTTCACTTGTTCAAATCCAATTTTGAATTCCAGGCATGGAGAAGGAGTTCTATTTATTCTACGATCAATGTTTTGAAACCAAGCAGGACAAGTAATATTCGAACCCCCTCTCCTCTGTGTTGATGGTTACCTTGCTCTCATATCAATTCAGATGTATGGGAATTTACCTTCTTCACTGGCTTTGCTTTTGGTGTTGATTTTTCATTCTTCTTTTCCTACCAGGTACGTGTATAAAGTTTGCCCATTTAAAGATGCATCCCAGGAGGAGGGCTATAGCAAAACTCAACTAGGGTATGTCTTCATGCCATTTTTTATCCTCTGTCTAGTCATAGATATACCAGCAGTACTAGTTTGTTGTTATTTGCGTTTTCCCCGCTCTGAGCAGTCAATACTTGATGGCAGATTTTTTAAAAAGAGGCCATTCTGGAAGTAGGAGCTAAATTTGTTTTGTCTTGCCAATGAGATCAAACCTCTTAAGAGTAAATATTAACATTAGCATTTATGTAAACATTTATATCATCAGAGGCATGATTCACCGGGTTGATTGATTTCCTGATTGATTAGGGACTAAGGGGTTTAGTTGAACATAAAGAGACTAGGGGACGGAAGGGTGGTGATTGGTGACTAGTGACATGTTTGAACTCTTTCCCATCTACACGATCAGCAACAAAGAGGGCATAAAATTATGAATGAAACTTTGATAGCCAAAAGGTGAAACTGCAATGTTCTAATACGAGGCTTCATTTCAATTGAAGAGAATATGGGTCTTAGCTTTCTAATGGGAGCATCCCTAAAGCTTAGCAGTACTGCTATAACCTAATCTATTTAATAAAAGTTGAATTGTAACAATGAATAGGAGAAGGAACAAACTATGAGTACAACTTGAAAGCCAAGTGATAAAGTTATTACCTATATTTAGCAAATCGATTTGGTCTGCATGCAAGACATTGGAATGCAGGATCTGTCTCATTATGTGATGACAACATGATGATGTAGAGTAAGTCAATGATCCTCTGGGAGGGGTGGGGGCCTCAACGGTGTTGCATGTACTGATGTTTTGGATGTAGAACTAGTTTCTACACGCTTGTGTTAATGTCATTTTTAGATTAAAAATGAGTGTTATTAGAAAGATGGAACTGAATAGTACAAAATTTGAGAATAAGACATCCTTCCGAAAAGTGAAAAGAAACCACAATCTAGTCCTTGTGGGATAGGATAGTTTTCGTAGCTTCTTTCTTCCTGTTAAAGTCTATATGCTGAAGAATCTAGATTTTTGTTTTCTTTTCTGTTCTCTATGTAGGCAATGGGAGAAGTTTGAAAACTCATATGGCTCCATGCTGTTTTCAAATGGCGATGGATGCTGGAATGGACCTGATAGAAGTTTGAAGGTATGTGAGATCTTATTATTCCTTGAAACTCTTGACTATTAGGCAAATGGAGCTACAATGGATATATAGTATGTCCAAAATACTTTTTTTTTTTTTTCCATTTATTGATCATTCATTCATTTGAGCTGTCTGGATCCTGTTTGGTGTATGGACCACTTTAGGATGCATTATGATCTGTAGAAGACGATAAACCAAAGTACTGTTTTTTTCCCTGTCAGAAAACGTGTTTGATGGTTATGTCTAAACAATCAACTGGTGAAAGTGAATGACAAGATGGCTCGGAATCTAAATGGGGCATGGATATTTTGCCTGTCTTTTTATGAGATAAGATTTTTGCTAACAAATCCTTTCATTTGAACAGGTCAAGCTTAGGTGTGGACTGAAAACAGAACTGACTGATGTGAATGAACCAAGCCGCTGCGAGTATGTCTCCCCCCTCTCCCGCTTTCACTTGCTTGCATACGTATGTTCATACACATCCTCACAAAATTCAGCTGTCTTACTCTTTCTTCGTCATGGCAGATATGTAGCTCTGTTGTCGACCCCTATCCGTTGCCTAGAACAAAAGCTTGAGGTATATTTTATTTAACGAGCAGCCAAGCTCCTAGTTTTCGTTGTCTTATTGAAATGCAAATAATGGATCTGACAGGAACTCCAACGTAAACTCGAATCAATGTACCAAGAACAACCGCAAGTTGGCCATGATGAGCTGTAAACTGGGTGGATCAATTGGAAAATGCTCCCTACTCTTTATTTCCAACTTATGCTGTTTGCCGAAGTGGCCTTCTGAAGTTCTACGAGTTTCTTTAATGACGAGATGCAATTATTTCCTCGAATATTGGACCAAAACATGACATCAAAGCTTCTACATGATATTCTTTCAGCTTGTTTTAGATTATTTTTCCCACAGCCGAGAAGCTAGTTTGACATTTTTTTCACTGAGGTGTTGGGTTGGGATCCCATTAATCACTTTTCAGAACTATATGACGTTCATCTTTATAGAGTAACTCTGAATTTTTAGAGGGATGTAATCAAGTTCAGCAATTTTGTTAGTGTAATATTTTTCTACAGGCTATAGAGAGACACTAGCATAGTTTTAATATTTTAATTAATTTAAAAAATTTTAAGTTAATGAAATAAAAATGAATCCATATGAATTGTTGAATTTTTTATTTTATTTTAATACACACTAGGTAGCATTTAACACGATGTGTATTTTATGTTTAAGTATAATTTATGAACATGATTGATTTTGATTAATAAAAAAAACAAGGCTCATATTTATTTATTTGTTTAAGAAAAATTTAAGAAGAGTCAATAATTAGAAGGTAAAAATCGACACTGAAAGGATGTCAAATCAATGTATATTAGAAGAACGTTTAATTTTAGTTAATGAGTTTGTAAAAATAAAAATCACAAATTAAATATTAACTATTAAGAAAAAAATTATTTTGAGCACTTTATGAAAAAGGAAAAAGAGAGAGAAATTTTCAAAAGTACATAAAGACAAAGAAAGAAAGAAAGGAAAGAAGCTGGGTCGGGGCGTGCGTCAGGCTTGTGTTCAAGGGTCCTTGAGACTAAAGCTTACATGTCTAGGCCGAACATTCACGACCTAGCCTTAAAAGGCCCAAAAAAAAATAAAGTGGGATGATGGGCCATTTGTACTGCCGCCTTTGCAACTTTCGACCACCAAATGTTGCTGAAATTTAAGGGTTATTTGTGGGGGCCTCATGAACCTATTTTTTACACAATTTTTACCTTCAAAAACATTTTTTTTTTTTTAACTTATACACTCAAACTTTATAGAAGAAATAATCTATTAGGATTTGAATTCATAATTTTTTTTATAAGAGACAACTACTACTGGGTTACAAGCTCTTTGGTCCTTCAAACACCTTAGTATAATCCAAAAAATATTTAAAAACAATTTTTGAACCTGAAAATATATTTTAATCAATCCTATATAGAGAAAAACGGACTCTCTCTTGTCTCTACTTTCAAGGATCTTATTTTAACACAATGAATTTTAGAGACCATTTCATACAAATCAAAGACTAAAATGAGTTCATATTTGTAAAGGTCAAATATCAAGGACCAAAACAAATTCATATTTGCAAACTTTTTTTTTTTTTTTTTGACAAAACGATGCCACTTTGAGATTTAAAAAAAAAACATGAAAACAACGTCATTTTAGATGGGTTCACCGTAGCTAAGATTTTTTAAACTACAATAAAACATCATTGGATTTTAGCTTCGTTACTAGTTTGTTAGATGTGCTACATTATGGGTTGACCAGAACAAATGAAATAATTCAATACATTGTTCTAGTTTGATGGACTGCCTTATATTGGGAGTCCATAAAAAATATGTCAAATCAAACATGAAAAAAATAATAATTCACTTAATTTTATAATTTTTTTGATCAAAATTATGTATTTAACTAGTTCTTTCTTATGTTTTTCATAAATCATATACTAAAAAAACATGATTTGTTCTTCTTAACTAAAAACTTGTAACAATTTAAATAAAAATTTTAATTGAAAAAAAAACACCTTAATAGTTGTTTCTTAAGACTCGTATCAAAAAATAAAGTAAAAATTAATGTAATTTTTTTTTATATAAAAATATACAAATGAAAGTTTTATTTTCTATTTGTATTTAATATTGATGAGAAGATTAATTTTTGAAAACATGCATGTTTGGTTTAGATATATTTATTCACAAAATAATCAATCAAATTAGCATAAAAACTATATTTGAATTATTGGTTGGTTCTTCTAAAACATAACTTCAATTACTTTATTTGAAAAAAAATTGAATTCAAAATATATAGAAAAATAAATAGTAAATGATTAGGACTTTGTATGTAAATACGTAGTTAATTTCTAATAAAAATAATGATTTTATTTATTTATTTATTATAACAAATATTGAGTAGGTTCGGAGTATACAAAAAAAACATTAAAAAAATATTTCATTTGTAAGAAATATATAGAATAAATTTAAATTTAATAGAATTAAATAAAACTACTACAAAATTTTGATATTGATAAGTCTTGATTATATAAAGAAAAAGCAAATAAAACACGTGAATGTCATAATTTTTTCTTCTTAAATCTTTTTTTTTTCTAGGTCATACATGGCTAGTCTTTGTATATAGACCTTGCACATAGAGCAATTAATTTCCTTTTTATGTGCATTTGGCTTTTAATTTTTAATTAATTAATTAAAAATTATTTTGTTTCTAAAAAATTGAGACAAATGTTTTGAAGTACACTTTTAACCTCTAGATTATATAGATAAAACCATGCAATTCTCATTTAAAAAACATAAGGATCTATCGTATAAATTATATTAATTTATTTTTTAAAAAATAGAAATAATCAAGTTTTAAGATTTTATTCCAAAAATCCATACATAGAGAAAAATAAGTCATATTTTTTAGTAAATAAAATTTTATTAAGAAGGAAAATTAAAAATTAATTGGATGGGAATTTTCATAAGAAATGACAAATTGAAGAAATAAATTTTAACTAATAAGAGTAATATAATTTGAAATATATATTCTCTAAGATATGAAAACATATCATTTTTTTTCTTGTCGATTGTGCCGAAAACTCAAAAAATATGACAATCCATTTGCCATAATTTTTGCACAGAATTCAATAATAGTATGAAATATAAAAAGATATCATTTTTATTCTCGCCATACTCGTACCAAGAACTCAAAAAATTACGATCGATTATTTAAAATATGAAAACATATCATTTTTTTTCTTGTCGGATTGTCTCGAAAACTCAAAAACTAACGATCGATTTGTCATAATTTTTACACAAAATTCAATAATAATTAAATTAAATTAAATTATAAAAAAAAAAGTAATTAAAAAAAAACAAGAAGAAGAAGAACCAAGCAAGGCCCGCGCCCTTGGATCAGGAGAACCAACCTCACAAAGGCTGGCTTTAAAAAAAAGGATGAAAGGACGACGTGTTGTTGATGCCGAACATAGCAACGATGGATCATCCGACTGCAAATTCCAGTAAAATTCAAAGGAAAATCAAAATTTCTAGTTTCTAGTTTTTGGCTTCTCAAATCCAATTTCAGCGTCACTTTTGTCCCAAAAGCATCTTAAAAAAAAAAAATTTCAAAAAACTCATTTTAATGTACATAAAAGACAAAATCTAAATCAAATTAAAAAAATTCAAAATATTTTATGATTTCAATCTTTTTTTTTTTAACTATTTAATGACTTGTGACGACAATAAACAAACTTTCATATTCAAAATGAACAAATTAAATGCAAGTTTGAGGATCAAATTAAGTTGTTGGATTATGTTTTATCATAATATTTTCTTTTCTCTCTTCTTTGCTTTTGTTTTTCTTCCCTCTCTATATTGAGGGATAAAACCATGATACAAATAAAATTTGAAATGAAAAAAAAAAAAAAAACATAAGTGTCTATAGTAATTAATTAGAGATTAAAGTTTAACTTTCATGAAAATTTGCATATAAATATGTGAAGGTGACTTGAAAATAATAAAAATGTCGTCATAGCACACTAAAAAAACAGTTCATCTGAGTCATGAGACATAGTTTATAGTGCATTAAATCTTAATAAACAGTGAAAGAAATAAAGACATGAACAGTAAATTTTTTCTATATATATAAAAAAAATAATTAGGAAGTGGGAAGTTGTTGAACTTGAAATGCTAATCATGCGTCCGTTGTGTTGATTTCAAAATCATGTTTGCATCTGTATCAATCAATCCCTCGCTACTCGCTAGTCGTCACCCAAATTATTATATTAACATGCAGGGTGGTAGCTCCACGGGCTACATACATAGGAAAAGGCATTTTAACATCTTTAGCCATGCTTAATTTGCACGCATTGAGAGATCTCTCTCTCACTCTCTTTCACACACACACCCCTCGTCTCTACTGCTTATTCATATGCCAATTTATTGTGCTTAGATTGTGATTTAACACTTCTCTTTAGATTATGGCTCTGAAAATCGATGGCCCATGTTAACACAAGCCGGTGACAGAGAGTATATTTAATAATGGAAGGTGGATGTGAATGTATGGCAGTGTCTTTAGAGGATATACCTTATGCTTCTTTAGCTTGGTGCAGCACATGATGCCACCGATCATTATTATTGCTTAAAAGAATATGGACATTAGTTTGTGAGGAAGAAGCTTTCGGTGTTAATTTGATTATATTCTTTGCGTTTTTCAATTTCCTCTTTTTTGTCGTTCAAACAACCAGGAAAGAATGGTTTCCCAACTTTTCCTCATTCTTTCATCTCTTTTTTAGTCCTTTCTTTCTTGTTTGGGACGCATGGAGGGCAGACAACTAAGAAAAATAAACTTAAAAGATTCGATTATGGATGATTAAAATTTTTATATAATTTTTTTAATAAAAAATTGGAACTTTATTCCACATATTGTTTAGGAAAACAGTGCAGAAAAAAATATAAGACTAAATTGCATTAACTTTTTTGAGGTACTATCAAAGTACATTGATGATCCAAAAATTTGGATATATTATAAAAATCTCGTTTTGTACTCAAAATGTTCTTAATATTTTAAAAAATTTCGCCAGTGGATGATTTTGGAAATATCATCAAGATTGTTTTGACTACGAAAGAGATTTTTGAAATATTATTTAAATATGAAGAAATTTTTGGATAGTCTATGTAATTTCGTAATATTTGAAACAATTGAGGAGTTGTAATTTTTTCAACTATAAATATTAAGCAAAACGTCCCAATATCACCTCGTTTCTATGTTATTTCATGAGAATACTGAATAATAAAGAGCTAGATTACTAGAACAGGAGTGCTTAGTAAATGATATAAAGTAACTTAAAAAACCTGCAATTATATAAGTTTTCTTTTATTTTGTTTTTTCTGATTTTGTAATATATATATATGTTAGCTAGCTTATAATCAATCCGATACCCCTAATAATATTAAGCATTTGAACAAAAATTAGGATCACAATATGATTGATCACACTTAATTTATTATCTAGAAGGGTACAATATGCTTTAATTAGCTTTTTATTATTATTTTTTCCGTTCCATAAAGAGAGTCATTGTTTTCTTATTTAAATGGATTAAAATATTTTTTTTCTCTCAAAAAAATTATCTATCTTTCTGTTTATATCTCTTTCAAAATATTTGTTTAATCAAAATTTTAGATGGTGTACTTTCTTAAAGCACCCTTAATTAAAGTCCATTTTGTAAAAAAAATTATTCAAATATAATTTTTTTAAAATAATATTTTAAAAAAGTATGAAGAAAAGATGTTGTTTGGTATAATAATTAATATTTTGTAATATGTGTGAAAAGTAAAATAAGACAATCTCTTTAGGAAAAAAAGAGTGTCTCTTATCAAAAATCAAAGAATTGAATTGAATACCAAATTTTATTATTTTACTCCTTTTTAAAAGTTAAATTCACATTTATTATTATTATTATTTTAAGTTTGGGAAAGAGGAATCCAACTTACAAATTTTCTCTTTATATAAAAGATGATACAACAAGAGAATTATTTCTTTGAAAATCCTTTTTCTAATTTATATGCACAGTGGTCCATAGGATTATTTTCTGTAAAAAAATCGAGGATAAATTATAATAGCTCCTCAAATATATAATGTGAAATTACAAGAATTATATAAAAGTTTAAAAATTTGATAGAAATCCTATCAACATTTAAGAGAATATTACAATAATCCATTTAATGTTTTTAAAACCATCAACTTTAATAATTAAAATAATAAGGGCATTATAGGTATAAAAAGAGATTTTTGTGATATTTTCAAAATTCTGAGTCCACTCTAACTATAATTTTATAATACCTTAGGGGTTATCGTAATTTAAACTAAAAAATGAATAAACTACCCATATTAAACCCATGAATTCCCCTCTCTATTTTTTTTTTCCCTTTCGAGAAACCCATGATTTATCTCCTTATATTTCATTGGTTTTTTAACCCAAACAAGAAACATCCATATATTAAAAAAAAAAACATTAATTCTAGATTAAAGAAAAAAACAGCTACATTACGGTCAGTTGACAATTAAAATAAAACAGCTCATTTATTGTTCTCGGGCTACCCCAATTATTTCTTTTTAATATATATATATATATTGAAAGGAGAGTTAAAAAAAATAAAAATAAAAACTCTAGAGGATTACATTGCGCATATTCAAGGAAAACTAGTTCCTTACATATTTTTTAAACAATATAAAAACAAGTAAGTGCAACGCTTGGTAAATAGATAAATTCCTAATTAACGTCAATGAAAAAACATGAGTCATATTTAATATATCTTTCTTGTCCCTCAAGAAAATATCTTCCTAAACAAACCAAACAACAACTTACAAGTTTTCTCCTTTTCTTTATTTGAGCCCTAAGGCGTACTAATTAAATAAACAGAATACTTTTAATTTATACCATAAATAATGGCAGTAATCAGCAAGTAAAATCCGTAAACTAAAGGGAAACAAATCAGGAAGAGAAAAACCCCTTAACCCTATATATATAGCCCAGCTTGTCATTAACTTGTTGTGTCAAGCGAGGGAAAAAAAAAAAACAACAACTCTTGAAAAAGCCTTTTGAGACTTCTCCTACTTCTGTAGTAAAAATCTGCTTTCTTCAAGATTTTAGCTACAATGGATAAAATTTTGGGCGGTCAAAACGGGGAGGAAGGAAGGAAGAGAAAGACTAAGATAGTATGCACGTTAGGGCCACAGTCAAGGTCTGTTGAGATGACTGAGAGGCTTTTGAGGGCTGGCATGAACGTTGCTCGCTTCAACTTTTCGCATGGAACTCATGCTTATCATCAAGAAACCCTTGATAATCTTAGGACTGCCATGAACAGTACTGGCATTCTCTGTGCTGTCATGTTGGACACCAAGGTATAGTTTCTTTTTGTTTTTCCTCTTTAATGCTAGCGTTTGTTTTTAGGTTATCTGTTTTTTTTAGGGGATTAGAGTTTTTTACGTTTTTTTTTCCTTTGAATTCTGTGACTTTGTTCTTTTGCAGAGATATCAATGATTATTTGATTTTAATTAATTTTCTTATTATTTCCATGTGAAATTTACATTAGGAATTAACTCTGAATCCCTCAAGCATGTAGTTTGGTAAACAAATTTCGTTAGGTCTAGATCAAGTAGGATGTTTCCTTTCAGTACATATTGGAAAAACAAAAGTAGTTGAGAAAAGTAATATTTTTCCAAAAGAATTCCAATAAACATACAAAGATTCTGCATTTAAGACAAAGACGATGTTCTGGCTTTGATTATTAAACATTAAAATAAGCTGCAAGGCACAAATATTCAAGAACTGTTCTTTTTTGTCGTGCCCATCACCAATTTGAGTTGCTCCTCTGTGGAAAATATGAATGTTCTCTTTAGGCGAACCTTGTCCCAGATATAGCATAATTCTCAGTATAAACTTCCTTTAGCTATTGTTTTCGTACAATTAATGCATATGGAAAGAGACAAGGGAATGCATGTTAAAGTTGTAGAGAATATGTTCTCTACTTTCAAAGCATAAAATCGTCGGTGATGAAACTCTGTGTAATTGCCTATGGGGGATAGGCTGCATGCATAGGGAATCAACTTTGGTCTTGAATAGCTAGTATTGGATTTGGTTTGCAGATATTGTACAATAACTTCTACCTTATGCATGCCACTGGCCTTATTTTGTTTTTCCAAGTCGTTAGTATGCTATGATATGATTTAAAGATCATGCTGAGTTTTGCCAGTTATTTCCGAATTCTAGCTGCAACAGAAGGAACTTGACTAACTACGAATATTCTTAAATTGTGATGTATACAGGGACCGGAAATTCGAACTGGATTCTTGAAGGATGGGAAGCCTGTGCAACTCAAGCAGGGTCAAGAGATAGTTATCTCTACTGATTATAGCTTAAAGGGTGATGAGAATATGATCTGCATGAGCTACAAAAAGTTGGCTGAAGATGTCCAGCCAGGGAGTTTTATTTTGTGTTCTGATGGCACTATTTCACTAACAGTGTTGGCCTGTGACAAGGAATCAGGATTGGTCCGTTGTCGATGTGAAAATTCTGCTGTTTTGGGGGAGAAGAAGAATGTCAATCTTCCTGGAGTTGTCGTTGATCTGCCTACCTTAACAGAGAAGGATAAGGAAGATATCATGATGTGGGGCGTCCCCAATAATATTGACATGATCGCCCTGTCCTTTGTTCGCAAAGGTTCAGACCTTGCAGAGGTCAGAAAGCTGCTAGGGGATGATGGAAAAAACATCCTTCTCATGTCAAAGGTAAGTTAATAATATCTGAAATCTTATACCAATTTTCTTCTTGAGTCAACTTTCTTCTCTTGTAGAACTAAAAGTTGACTTCTTAGGATTGTTACAAATATGGTATGAATAGCTAATGCCGAGCTATATGGTACTGAGTTATCAAATTGACCTTTTGGTTCTATCTTTTGGCAGGTCGAAAATCAAGAAGGAGTTGCTAATTTTGATGACATTCTTGCAAATTCTGATGCATTTATGGTGGCAAGAGGTGACCTGGGAATGGAAATTCCAATTGAGAAAATATTCCTAGCTCAGAAAGTGATGATACACAAGGCCAACATACAAGGAAAGCCAGTAGTGACTGCTACTCAGATGTTGGAGTCCATGATCAAGTCTCCAAGGCCTACCAGAGCTGAAGCTACTGATGTTGCCAATGCAGTTCTTGATGGTACTGATTGTGTGATGCTCAGTGGAGAAACTGCTGCTGGAGCCTACCCGGAGCTTGCTGTTCAAACCATGTCCAGAATATGCATGGAAGCAGAGAACTTCATAGATTATGGGCATCTTTTCAAGACAATTATGGCTACTTCTCCCACGCCCATGACCCCATTAGAAAGTATGGCTTCTTCAGCAGTCAAGACAGCAAACACCATCAAAGCAGCATTTATTTTAGTCCTGACCAAGGGTGGAACCATAGCAAAGTTGGTGTCTAAATACCGACCAAGCATGACAGTTTTGTCAATGATCGTTCCAGAGATTAGAACTGATTCCTTTGAGTGGTCATGCAGTGACGAAGCTCCAGCAAGACATAGCCTTATTTACCGGGGTCTTATGCCTGTTTTGACCTCAGTGTCTGGAAAAGTCTATCATAGTGAGTCAACTGACGAGACAATTGAGCAGGCCTTTCAATATGCAAAGATGAAGGGACTGTGCAAGCCCGGAGACTCGGTTGTGGCATTGCACAAGATTGGCGCTGCTTCTGTGATAAAGATCTTGCAAGTGCAGCAGTGATCATACTGCGCACAGCTTGGATATAAAGATTCTACAGATTTTTGAGGCATTTAGTTTTTTGCTAGTTTATCTTTAGTTTAAGTGAGGTTGGAACAATAATAAGTAATTGAATATTAAAGAGAGCACCTTCACAATTTTGGCAATTTAGTTTTTGTTCTGATTACATACCTTACGAGATCTGTTTTTCCATATGTCATTAGTCTTTTTGCACCTTTAAAATTTTTCTTAGCGTATTCAGTAGTCGAAAGGTTTAATCCCAGAGGCCAATGCAGTGTTGTATTGTTTATTTTGGGAGCCAATCCCACCACAAGGAGAAAAGGTTCCATCGAATCTAGCAGTGACAAATTGAAACACAGCAACTCACGCAATCAAATCTCTTAACCATGAAGTTACTTCCATACATGAATCTCTTACTTTTCAATCAGAGGCTGCCTATATCCAGTTCCAGAAATCTACATACTAAGATTATAATATTAAAATATTTTCTTCAGCGAAATCAACAGACAGGATAAACATTGGTGGGATTCAAAAACTCATTCATTCACTTCCAATCCAGCACTTAAGTATTGCCATTGGAAGGCAAAAGGCCATAGGGCAACCAAGAAAAAGTATGTCACACATACAAATGTTTCAAGTGACATGCCTAAAATTTTTACCAGAGACAGTCCCACTGGTCAGTAGTTACAGTAGTTTTCGTGATCCCAATTTGAGGTGATGGTCTCTGGAAAAGAAAACCAGTTACATGGCATCAATTCATTAACACTGTTAAAATTGCTTAGAGAATACAAAAATGCGCCAAAATCATTAACTTCATTTACATAAGGAGAGGATACCATTTTGCTAAGATAAGATGGAAGCATACAGAAGAAAGGCATGACAACATATAGAAGTAGAATAAGTACGTTACAAATATAAGTGTTCAAGTTTCATCGGTATGGGAAGCACTTCCGCGCATCGTGGCTGATGAGGGTGCTGAAGTAGAACTCCCACCATTTTGAGATCCTGATAAGGGAAACAAACTATCAAAAGGCCATGGGATTGGGACCCAATACCTTCTCCCAATATCAATGATCCTAGCATCATTGTTCTCCATTCTTTCTTCCTCGCTTCTCGGCCGACTTGCTTCGATCTTGGAATCATCAGAGGGCATTAAGAACCTGCAAACAGGGCAGGAACTATGAAGTTCCAGCCAAGGGACAATGCACTCTCCATGGAATTTGTGTTTACAGGGCATCTCCTTTGCTTCAGATCCAATCTCGAACTCTTCCAAGCATATTGAACACTGCAAACTCTGCTTAATGGAAACCGCTGGCATTGCTTTAACTGCTTCTTTCTCTGCTGGAAGAGTCCCGTATCGGTTAGGACCACTCTCTGCCAAATGATGCAGCAGTAAATCTACACCAGGTCCTATAAGGTAGTCCCGGAAAGAACTTGACACGTTTTGACTTGGGTTTTCTAGCTGGTTCATATCATCAGGGCTGTGAAGAATCATTGCCTCTTCATTGATAGGATTAACCAAAATCACACTACTACTATTACTACCGCTGCTGCTGCTCTCCCTGTCATTTTCAGAATTCTCTGATTCCAAATTTAGATCTTGAAGTAAGTGTTGGACTGAAGACGTGTTTCTTCTACCCCTTCTCCGAAGTAAGGACTCAAAGTGGAGTTCATATTCATCCGGTGAACTAGTACTGCTAATATGTTCTTGAGCTGTCCTACGGGAACCAGAAGTGCCTAAGCCACCCATAAGGTCCAGAAAGATTGTATCCCAAAGAGAGAAGGCACGTTCCGATCCTAAATCAAATCCATTGTTATTGACTTCTCTCGTGCTGCCCATCTCTTCCAGAAAACCACTCTCACAGAATGGACATTTAATCTCAGCTTCCATTGCCGGGTTCACCATCTGAGAACACATGTGACACCAGTACTGATCCACCATTCCGTCTTCCATTTCCCTTTCTCTACGCAACAGGAAAATAAACTAAACAATGAATCAAAAGAAATGAGGAAAGAATCAAGCAACTATAGAAAACAGAACAACCTACTCAAAACAACTTATTAGAATCTCCAGGAGGTAAAGTTCTATTTACTTATCAAGAGCACTTTTACGCTACCATGCATACATATCTAAGAAGTAGAACCATTGATGGATCCAATTAAGGGGGCATGGCTCTTGATGAAAACATGCATAGATTGATCCATTGGACACTGCCAAAATTGGAATCTGCCTCTATTATTCAAAATCACATCTACGTATGAAATGATAAAGATGATTTATACCCTTACACCCTCTCACTGGGTATAAGTATTTTGCAGAATAAACAGACAGTGAAACAACTTACTATTATTTCATATGTCAAGAAAATAGGACAGATTATTGTTCCTCAAAACGAAAATAATCTTATTGCAAAGGTCCTGTCAAAGACATGCATGAAAAGAACTCTAAAGTGCCAAAGCTCTATAGAGAATTAAGACTTAACAAATTAATCAAATCCAGAACTTCATTGAACATTACCAAAGACTGAAAAAGAGAACAGAATAGTACAAAAGAATAGACTAGATTAAACGGATTATTCAGAGGTGGAAGAAAAACACAGGAACCGTAAAAGTAACTTTAAACTTGGATTGTTCAATACGTACTTATATTTTGTTATTCACCAGCACCATGTAAAATTTACAGGGGAAAAAAATGATGAAAAAAAGACGATCTTTCTCGGTTTAGCAAAGGGTGAAAACTAAGAAAGTTCTGTACCTTATGGATGAAGAAATACAGAAGTTACACAATAACAAGCATTAATTGCTACAAGGAAATGGCAGCAGATTATATATTAATGTTCCAGTAGTTGTCATCTGATACAATATATTTGAGGTAGCACTGCAGCTTGGTATGTATATACACACCACAATCCTTCAATTCATTCTTAAGCCTAGCAACTTGCCAACAAAACAACAGAAACAAAAGTAGACAGATAACAGTAAGATTGCGTTTTTGCACCTTGTAGATAAAGGAAGTGGGTGTTGATGTTTATCTTCTTGATTTCCTGTTTGCTGGAAAATAATGAAGCTAGCTGGTTGGTAGAGAGAAAGAAGAGAGAAAAGCAATGGTGTTCTCTCCTTTTTATCTCTAAACTTGTCAACTTCTTGATTTAGTTTTTTTTTTCTGTTCAATGATGTGATTAATGAATCATGGTAATTAAATTAATAGCAACTTGTTATTCTTTTTTATGTCAAGTTTTGCTGTTAGTTTGCTTTTCTTCTAAGTGTGTGGTCCATTGGTTGGTAACACTTCGTTTTCTCATGAGAATGCTTAACACCTCTCATATGCTTTATGGTGGAAATTAATTAACCCATTGATCAATTGATATTTGACTAATGACAGATAAATCCCAACATTTGAAATTAGGCTACCCTATGAAATTTCAAATACTTGGTCTTTTAGCTAGTCAATAGCTGCCATGTGGCTCATTTTAAAAGTCCAAAGTTCTCTCTTTCTTTTTTCCCCGAGTGACGTTATCTTTAGTTAAAGATAAGATTAATTATATTCAAAGTGATAGAAATAAGATTTAACTTCTTTTAACAAGTGCCACTCTAATATTCGAATCCTATACATTGACAGAAAATTCATCTAATCATGTACATTAGCAGAAAATTCTCATCGAAATCAACTTATTTACCACTAGGCCATCAATTTGTTGGTCCAAGTTCTTCTGTTTTTTGATAGGAATCTCCTGCATAATAAATCAAGACATTTCACTGATGGTAAGAAGGGCAAAACACTAGGATTGTGCTAGTGGCCCAGAAAACTAAAGTAGTAAAAGAAGATAGGCCGAATTGTGGAGCTAAAAACAGTGCAAAACCCAACATGGGCCAAAATTCACTTGTATAGGCATAAGAGATCAACATTGCAGTTCTCCAGGCCAGCATAAAAAAATCTTTCCAGAAAAGGGCCAGTGCATATGTTCACCAACCTGTGTTAACATGAGAGAAGATTGGTTGTAAGAATGATTGAAGAAATCCATCCGATGTCCAAATTAACAAAACTATATCTGCACAATAGGAGCATCAAATAACATATTTATAGCATCACTTCAGTGTCAGACACCAAATCATTTCTTCAAAATGGAAATAAACGAGTAATTATTAATTCTTGCAGTGGCTTTTCTTTGTAATTTTCATCCTGATACTCGTGGAAATGGTTGGTAGATCATTTAAGCTTCCAAACTGCTACTATATTTAACTTAAATTCTTGTTTATTATAGATATCATAGAAACACATGAAGAATAAAAGACTAAAAACATCCCACAATTGCAGTAAAAGAAGTCAATTATGTAAGATATATCATTGATAGGGAATTAAGAAGCACGATTGGGAAGGATATATAACAAGCATAAGATTGATACAGTGCATGCATGTGTAAGCTTAGAAAAGATTACCATGAGAACTACTGGATTTTAGTTGGTCACTCTCCAGATTGCCTTTCACCTTTCACCTTTCACGGAGGTACACCATTGACCGGACATGCTTTCGACTTTTGAAAGCATTGAGAAGGAAACAGTTTCGATCCTCCTCAAGGGTGATCTAGTGACCAAAACATTCATTTGCTTCGCCTTTCGAACGAGACTATGCAAATTTCCGTGTGCATTTGTCGTCCCTGACGTTTCAAAATCAATAATTACACTTCCTTAATATTAAGGGTAAATTTCAATTTATTCCCCCCTAAATTTTGTGTTTTCTCAATCCCATGTTACTTTTGATTTTTTTCAATTAAATTCTGTATTTTTATTTTTGTTCCACTCAGTGCAAATTTTAATTTCATCTGTAAAGTTTATGAAATATCTCAATATAACTCTAAAGATAAAAATGAAAAACTTAAAATTTTAAAAATAATTGAAAAAGAAAATCTTCAATAAAATAAATATGATAAAATAGCTTCTTCTTTTTTAATCAACACTGCTTCTCATACATTCTCTCACTAACATGTCATATCTACATTTTTTTAATCTAATTTTCCATTAAAATTTTGAACAAGAATTAAAATAAATAAATAAAATTCCATATGAATGGAATGGTAGCTTGGGTATAGGATAATTTTGATACCACGTGGAACGTGATTGTTTGCACATATCAGAATGTGCTATTTAATGGCAACATAAAAGACAGGAGGGGGTACAATAGCTGAGATGGATCAGAAAAGATAAAAATTTTGATAGAAAAAGGAATAAATAAAAAGAGTTAAATTAATTTAATCTTGATTTTTATTTAAATATAGTATCGATAAAGAGAAAAAAATGATATTGCTAAATGAGAATTGAAGTTGATAAGATTTAAGAATTTATTGAGAAACTAACCCTCTCAAGTTTTATAATTAATATTTATTTTTATATAAAATATATTTTCTGGTATTATTATTTTTTTAATTTCATTTTTTTCTTTAGTTTTAGATGGTATTAAGATAGTTCATAAATTTGAAGAATGAATTAAAATTTATGTATGTGACAAACGTGGGCAAAAAATGAAAATTTGAAATAAAGTAAAAGATATGAAAGCTGACTGGAACAAAAATAAAATATACATAGGCTAATTGGAACAAAAAATAAGGTCTAATTAAAACAAAGCAAACATTTAAGTGAAATTAAATAAACGCAAAAACCTCACAAGGCAAATTAAAATTTACTCTAATAGTAATTACAATGTTAAAAATTAAAACTCTATCTCTTTTCCTGTCAAGATTTTTTATTTAAAGTTTGAACTAACATAATAGAGAACTAATTAGCAAAATAGTTATCCAAGTTTTACTCGTGCTTTCTAACTAGTCCTCCCATCTCATTAATTATATTATTTTTCTTTTCGTTGTCTCGTTTTATTTACTCAATCATTTTCGATTGTTTTTATGTACTTAAAAGATTCAATTTCTCTTACTTTATTATTTTTTTTTAAAGAAATTAGATGATAAAATTAAAGATAATTTTTTATTGTATTTAAGTCCAGTATTTCACAACTAATGATAATTTTATAAATCATAAATTTAAAGCTAAAATATAAAGTCGCGACATTAGAAAAACTAAAGAAGTAGATGTTTTCGCAGCAATCTTTTTTTTTTTTGGGATAACCTCGAAACACTAGTCTCGCTATATATATAGGTCCATCAAAATTTAGACAATACAATAAAAAATAATCCGTCTTCATTGTATCATTATAATTGAGAATAATGTAATATTTCACCAGAGAAAGTAACAAATAACAATTTTTTTGGCTAAATTTTCTTGAATTAGTTTTACTATTCATAACTATGTTAACAGCAATATTCAAAATTCCAAATAAACACAGTCGACAAGCAACTATATATAGTTGAAAGATTTTTTTTTTTTTTGGTTAGAATAATCTAGGAAAATTAATTTGAACCTAGCTAAACAAATGTTAATTTGATCAATAATAATTTGGCAAATATATTACAGTCTTAATGTGCTTTAATTAGTAATAACAAATACTAATGTCAAATATTCTAACTCATTGACTTAATTAAAAATAAAATAAAATAAAAAATACTTCCTTTCCCTGACTGACTGGGATTCCGCATTTACATTTGTAGCAGCCCGCTCCTTATCTCCCATCATAAAGCGGATTCAAATTTTAATACGGAAACGACGTCACTTTCTCTCTCTCTCTCTCTCTCTCTCCGCTTCCCTCGCTAAAGCCTGTCTTTTTCGGTGTATATTTTATTCCCTCCTCAGCACGTCCGGGTTCGAAATCTTTGATCTTTCTGATTTTTTTTTTTTTAAAAAAAAATCTCAATCTTCCGCAACCAAATTATTTATTATCTATAATTTCGATAGCTACTTTTCAGTTATTTAAAGCTAATTAAGCGACTGTTTTTGAGGTAAGATTTAATGACGACGAAAAACAATTCTAGTTCCCAAAATTTTCTTAATATATTAATGGTTTTATGTTTT